TTTTTTTTTTTGTTTTTTTTTTTAAATTTAAATGCTCACACTTGATTTTATATTTGTTCCTACACCTCAGCTGGACCCACAGGCTCTCCAAGGAAAAGACTGGCAAAGGACTGTCATTCCAATGAACGGGGTGCGTCAATCAAACTGCTATTTTTCTCCCACCTTTGTTACATTCCGCATGCTTGCCTCACTTGTTTTTTGGCGATTTATAACGCGAGTCCTGATTGTCTGTGACAGATTGAGGTCAAACTGTCCATGAAGTTCACCAGCCGCGAGTTCAGCCTGAAGAGAATGCCCTCGCGGAAACCCATGGGTGTGTTCGGAGTCAAGATCTCCACTGTGACCAAGTGAGTTTGCTTGCATGCAGGTTGAAGATCATCTGAGCATACAAAATCTCAATCCTGGGCTTGAGTTCCTTTGCAAGGTCCAAGTGGCCAATTCCGATTTCTTCATTTGAACCAAAACGAGCCATCTGAGATGACACGTACAGTACAATTATTTTGACCCAACAGATTGGGTTGAAGATTGGTTTCTTGGTAGCATGCATATTTTTTTTAATCCATTATTGGATCAAAAACTTGACCCGAGATGCTGGGTCAAATCCTCGACCCAATGCTCTGGGTCGAAATCACTGATTTTCGACCCAACGCTGGGTTCTTCTTATTGTTTGCCTATTTCTATCCAGACGAGAGCGTTCCAAGGTGCCCTACATAGTCCGGCAGTGCCTGGAGGAAATCGAGAGGAGGGGAATGGAGGAGGTGGGCATCTATCGAGTGTCAGGAGTGGCCACCGATATTCAGGCCCTCAAGACAGCTTTTGACACCAGTGAGTACAGTTGACCTCGTTCAGGTTGACACAAATGGATCTGAGTGTCACTGGCATTCTATTTTTGTTGTTCATTGTTTTCTCATCTACTGTCATTTACCGTATTAGCCCGAATATAAGACGGCCCTGATTATAAGACGACCCCTTCTTTTTCAAGACTCGAGTTTGAAAAAAAGACCTTTTGAACACCAAATTAATTTTTATACGGAAAATAATTACAGTGCATCTGAAACAAATGATTATAACAATGTATTCGAGAGAAAAAGCATGTTATTTTGCCTCATTCAAATCTAAAGTGCACTCACATTCGTAAATGAATCTCTTCTATTATTTTCTTCTCTTTTCATTCTTACTGCTATTTTTTATTTTTCTTCTCCCTGCTACCGCTATTTTTATTTTTATTCTTCGTGGCAGGGGTTCACTTTGGCCTGGGGAGTCAAGTTCAGCATATGCTTCAATGATATGTGGCGCCATCTAGCGTCGTGAATGAGTATAATGTCTAGACCCCGAATATAAGACGACCCCCACTTTTTCAGTCTTATTTCAATGCAAAAAACACCGTCTTATATTCGGGCCAAAACTGTATGATTGATTGTTGTTTTGTTTTTGTTGATTTTTACCGTATTAAATTTAATCTCAACATAAAGAGTTAAATCAATCAATCGACCCGGATGTCTTTGTGTGATTGGTAGATCACAAAGACGTCTCTGTGATGATGAGCGAGATGGACGTCAACGCGATCGCCGGCACCTTGAAGTTGTACTTCCGAGAGCTGCCGGAGCCGCTCTTCACCGATGAACTCTACCCCAATTTTGCCGGCGGCATCAGTGCGTTGACATTTCGTCACTTTGAAATGGATAATTACGAGAGGGGGGAAAAAAAATATGGTTGATTTGTGATTGTCTTGTCTTTTGCAGCTCTGTCTGATAGCGTTGCCAAGGAGAGCTGCATGTTGAACCTACTGCTGTCGCTACCGGAGCCGAACTTGGTCACCTTCCTTTTCCTTTTGGATCACCTGAAGAGGTACGAATTCAATGTCGTTTGAAAAAGACACCGATGGTTTCATTTCGTCCTTCATGCTAGCACGTAGTTGGGCTGGACACAATTCAGAAAAGAAGCGTAAATGGATTTGATGCACACAGTACTTAATTACAGGAAATTTGAAAGTGTAGTCATTGTTTTTTTTATTTTTTTTTTAAATTAACATTCAAATCCAACTCAGATAAAACAAATCGATAAAATTGTAAGCACTTTGAAATGGATTTGAGAGCAGCACTTCATTTTCCATAATACCTTGCTTTATCCAAATCTTTAAAATGGCCGTCCAAACAATTTCGACATTTGATTAGCGCACACTCATTCTCACTCAATTCAATTCCTCTTCCTGTATTCCAAATTCACTTCACATACTGCGGGGCGGCGTCAATTCCGCCTCCAATTTCCTTCCTTTCCAGTCACTTTGTCATTCCGATGTTTTGAGTACGCTATAATTCTCACCTCAGTGGTTGGATTTGGTGCACAAACAATCAAAGTTCAAAGAAGCCCATACATACCTGCTGTGGAGTGGTTAGCGGATGACATCTACAAATTATCTTCTGGTTACCATGGAGATTGAGATGAATAAAAAGGCCTGAGCGTCATGTGGGCGTCGGTACAATTTGCAGAAAACGTCTGGAGTGGAGGGTGCCAGGCCATCACTCGTCGAAGTCGACCGCACAATGCATTGCCGCCCTATCACATTATCAGTGTGACTTTGCGTGTTTCCTCTTCTGTCTCAGGGTGGCAGAGAAAGAAAGCGTCAACAAGATGTCCCTCCACAACCTGGCCACTGTGTTTGGCCCGACTCTGTTGAGGCCCGCCGAAAAGGACAGTAAGATCCCGACCAACCCCACCCAGCCCATCAGCATGGGGGACAGCTGGTCCCTGGAGGTCATGGCACAGGTCAGCAAACCCACTTTTGCCGTTTTATCTCCTCACCGGTGAGGAATCTCTGAATCATGTGACAAAACGAAAGAAAAAAAAACAACAAACAAGCAAAGCTCTTGAAGAGCACTTGCCGACGGATGCCAACTACGCCGCCATCTTGGAAAATTTTTGGACCGTGACAAAAAAAAAAAAAAAAAAATTCACCTTTACCTAACGGCAAAATTTCTAAACGATTGTGATTCATTTTCCCGTCACACAGCAACTTTATTTTTGGATCATTGTGCCTGTTTTCTACCAAGCAGTATAGTTGTTCTTTTTTACATTACAACTTTGTTTGTGCCATTGACTTTTTTTTTTTTTTCTGCTAACATCACAATGACTTTTTATGACTTTTCTTCTTGTTTACGTTAGCATAACGATTTCTTTAACATTGATTACCGGTACACTTTTTTTTCTGATCATCCTGAGGATATTTTTTGTTCTTGTAACAGCAACATTTTTTTCTACTAACAGTGACTTTTTTTTTTCTTTTGCATGTTTATTCCCATAACTATAACTTTTTTTTCATAACACCGAAAGACGTTTCTCGTACCATAATTTGATAGCATTTGGACTTTTTTTTTCCTCACTTTACAGCTTTATTTTGATATTTTTTTATATTTATTTTTATTGTCGCAAAAAAAATAATAAATCCCCCAAATCCCGTTTTTCCGTTCAGATTGTTACCCCTTTTCATATTTGTGTTCATATTTCCAGTTAAATATTCCGATTTTTAAAATTTTTTTTTACCCACAAACTGCATTTTACAGGTCCAGGTGCTGCTGTATTTCCTCCAGTTGGAGACGATCCCCACTCCAGACAGCAAACGACAGAGCATCCTTTTCTCCACGGAGGTATAGAGAAAACTTTGTTGACCTTGACCGTGATGGAGCGACGGACCGGAAGGACGTGTGGCTCCGAGTCAGCTTTGCTGTAGTACGTTTTTGAATTGACTACATCCCGCACCGCTCGCACAGCCTTGTGAAGGATTTTTTTTTTAACCTAACCACAAGAGGATGCCATTGAGCCTTTAAACCCGAGCCTCCGAGCGTCCATACATTCTTGGGAATCCCATTTTCTTCCATCTACATTCCTGTATTTTTCTCCATATTAGTCACAGGAAAAGAAAATCTTGGAATGGCTTGTTTTTTTATTTGGTGGGGGTGGGGTCAATTGTCAGACAATGGTCAAAACCTTGACAAAATGTGGCCGTCCATCTCAAACTTTTCCAGACTTCATCTCAGCATATTTTTTTCCCCCCAAAAGGATGACAGGAATCAAGAATTGAACACAACTGTCGAGTTTTGCCAAGCCTACAGTAGTCCTCCACTCGTTGTACTGTAGCTGAAGTCCAAGGCAGCAACTTGAATGACTTTGCGAAGGAAGATGATGATGTGAAACTGTATTCCTAATGGACCACAATTTCACTGCCTGCGGTTTTGTGTCCAACCACAAAGGCACGTTATCTCTACTTGTGTCTCCCAGTTAGCTTAAATATCCGGGAAGCAATATATTTTCTATCACGCAAATTTTCCCTCCTTGTCACATTGGACTTCCTCGTCAAATGTTGCCCATGTGTTTCTTGTTGTACATAATCTTCAAGTTTTTCTTTTCACGGGTATGATCTTCAGTTGTGAAATGTAATTTATTGCAGGGTCCTGGAGAAGAGATTTTTTTTTTCTATGTGTACATGAAGCGGTTTGATGTCGGCGGGCTGCTGTGAAGAAGCAGGAATTTAGCCTCGTTTGTTTGTTTGTTTGTTTTTTGATTTTTTTTTATACTGCCGTTCTGTGCAGCCTTTTGGCGGGTGCAACGTCGTGACATTCACATCCCAAATGACGTCGACTTTTTTTTCATCGTCTCATTTATGGTGGTAGAAGCGCATGTCACAGTTTTCCGGGTCCATTTTCGTTGGGTCACAGGCTACCTGTACGATTGAGAAGCGGATTCACTTTTAAAACTGATGTGGTAAATAGTTTTTCATGATAAAACACGGTGAATGTATGTGTGGATCAAAAATGAAACTCTGCGCCGTTACGGCATTGTTAAATAACGTGAACAAGTGTGTAGAGGCGAATCTTGGAGACATCTCGTCGCTGGTCGGGTGAAATCTTTACATCTCCAAAATGACTACGTGTCAGTCATTGACTCAGTTTAACATGCGGAAATGAATCCACGTACAAACTTACACCGGGAAAAAAAAAGTCCCTGACGGGTTAAAAAGCCATTTAAAATAGATCTACAATTTTATTTTAGATAAAAAATGTTTTTTTCTTGTATTAGACCCTGGCACTAAAATGTCACTGTAGTAAGTCCATGCATGCAGGCATGTTCTTTATTATGTTGTACTTAACAAGCCCATTCCATGACAAAAAGTCCTTACATGCCTATTTACATTTTTTTACTCACACGGTTGAAGCTACAATTGCTAAATTAACATTTCAGGTTCCAGTGCAGAGGTCGTGAGTTCGATTCCGGCTCCGGCCTTCCTGTGTGGAGTTTGCATGTTCTCCCCAGGTTTTTTTCTCCGGGTACTCCGGTTTCCTCCCACATTCCAAAAACATACATGACAGGCTGATCGAACACTCAAAATTGTCCCTGAGTGTGAATGCGGATGGTTGTTCGTCTCTGTATGCCCTGCGATTGGCTGGCAAATGGTTCAGGGTGTCCCCTGCCAACTGGCCGAAGACGGCCGGGATACGCTCCAGCATTCCCGCGACCCTTGTGAGGATAAGCGGATCAGAAAATGGAAGGATCGATGGATGTTATTTATGGGGCGGCTCGGTGGGCAACTCTTATGTCTGCCCCACAGCGCAGAGGGGCACGGTTTGATTCCAGGCTCCGGCCTTTCTGTGTGGAGTTTGCATGTTCTGCATTGGTTTTCTCCAAGTACTCCCCCATTCCAAAAACACGCGTAGTACGTTGATTGGACACACTAAATTGTCCAAAGGCGTGATTGTAAGCGCGAATGGTTGTTTGTCAATGCGTGCCCTGCGATTGGCTGGCGACCAATTCAGGGTGTAGGATGCTCGATGACAGCTGGGATCAGCTTTCGCAAGTGGATCGGATGATGGGTGGATGAATATATTTTTTTTTCTTCATTTTACATACACATTTTAACTTATTTTTGTATCCAGTTCTCATCAACGAAAACCTGGCCCATCTGTATGTTTAAAAAAAATCCAATGCAGCCCTTGAGCACAGTTTTTTCTCGCCCTGCTGTAAACATATCATTTATCTTCACCACATAGCAAGGGGAATTATGGAGACATATCTCGCATTTCTGTGCTCTAACTTGACCGTTCTAACATATCAAAACTAGAAACGCATGGATGTGAATGTACGACATACCACATCGGCCATTTTGTCACGCAATCCGAGTGGACGAGAGCACAATTGCAGTCGATTTCACCTCCACGAGCATTACGACGTGTTCAATGATGCCGCCCTCGTTTACTAGCACATATTTTGGCCTTGCGTAGCACATGTACACCGTTTTCACACCCGCGTCGGAAGACAAGACAGCGGCATCCGTCCCTCCGTCCCGATTGCCTTCACCGCTCTGACCCTGTCGTGCCTCAACGCGGCTTTTTGTTGAGCGAGACGCTGACAGCGGAAACTCTCCTGTTGCCTTTTTACGCCGAAGACAGCCACACGTTTTTTCACGACTAAGACAGGACCTTAAAAGAAAAAGAAGAAAAAAAATCAGTCTTAGTTCCGAACGACCACCCTTATTCTCACGCTGATGCTGTAAATTGATCTCTTAAGTATTAACGGGACAAAGGATAGTAAAATTCTTGTCTGTGTCCTTACTTTAGCTCCTTTTATGCCTTTTTGACTTGTATTTATTGAAGCTTTGTTCGAGTCTTGGAATAGAACGTCTGCTGGGTCTATTTATTTGTAATATCTTGAAGGAATAAATTAATGTAAAGGTCAAGTAAAGGGAGTGTACTTATTTGGGAGTGTCACTGTCTGTTGAAATGACTGAAGTTCGTCACTTTTTTTTTCTCACCCGCCTGCCCCCTGCATCTTCTTTCACGTTTGCTTTCCATCTCCCTTTTTGTGACTGTTTGTCATTATTGATCTCATGGTCCTGAAGCGTCGGTGTACGAGCAGCACTTTACACACTGATGTTGCTGCACATGCATTCTGACCTATTTTCTACCGCAGTGGTTGTCAAAGTACCGCTACGGCTTAGCTTCCCGAGTGCCGACATCCAGGCCAATTAAAATACAGTCGACGGAAATGTTCATAAAAAATCAGGCAGAGATTGTATTTCTTTATTCTTTGTTTAATTGAACCAAATTAAAAAATAATAAGTACTATAAATAAATAAAAACAATTTGAAGTGGACGGTTAGAACATTTAATTCAGTGATTCTTTAACATACCACTAGAGGGAGCCCACATACCAAAAGTGGTCTTCATATCTCACTTTTGAGAATCACTCTTCTTCTCTAACTCAGTTAACGCAATATAAGTTCATTTTTAGAGTCCACAGAAACAAATTTTCAATGCTCAGATTTTGTAATATTAAAAAGAAAAAAATGAAGCCAAGATAAATCATTTCAAAACCTTTTAAGAGGCGAATTAACCCTTTCTTGCACCCTGTAACCTGATGACATAAGTTGTCCGCTGTAGTAACCGCTATCGCTGAACTGGTTAAAACAAATAAATATGTGACTGCAGAAGTGCGAAGACCCTCTTATTCCTTAGGATGGGGCTGTGTTCAGAATTAAACTGTTACACTCAAACTCGTATTAATTGGGAGTCAGCAGACACCTGCCACTATTTAAAATGCCTCTGATTAACCCAAAATAAAGTTCGGATGCTCTAGTAGTCTTTTTTTGTTGTTGTTTGTTGGTGTTTTTTTTTTCAGGATGCACAAGCTTTTTTTTCTTATATTTAATTAACTGTAAACCAAAACTCTATATATTTTTTTTTCAGTATGCAGTCATTGGAAAGGACATTTTTAACATGCCTACTTTTTTTTTTTTACTTCAAATGAAGCATTAGAGTTCATGTGTTATTGGTGTGTTTTCTCTCTTAGTGACACATAGGCGCACACGCTACTTTATTGTCGCGTTGTGAGTGGGGGACATCGATTGACAGCGCAGAGGCAGATCCACTTTATCAGGATGTGCAGGATGTCTTTATCATTTCCTCCAAGCCAACAGCCTGCATGAGCATTACCCATCTTGTGTGTGTGTGTGTGTGTGTGTGTGTGTGTGTGTGTGTGTGTGTGTGTGTGTGTGTTTTCTTTTTCTTTTTTTTTGGGCTGAAGCAGTCATCTGGAAGATGTACAAACAAGAAAGCTTTCCCCTGGTCACTATAGTTTCACTTGGCGCCTGAAAACAGCACACTCTCTGAAGGGGAATCTCACGTAACTTTACATCATTCCCGTTTACATAGAATGGCACAGACTGTTTTTTTTTCCCTCCCCCCACCCCCCTCCTCATTGTAGGATTCCGAACCGGCTAGATCAAGCATTTTTGTCATTCCTCTAGGATCTGGGAAGGATTCTGACGTGGGAACAAAAGGCAAAGTAGGACTTTGGTCCAGTGTATGTGTCAATTAGGATCAGCGCAGGGGTTTACCGTGTGGCCACCAGGCAGTGGAAGGAGAACAATGAATGGAAAACGTGCACAGAGGATGCAGCCGCCACTGAACACGGGTAAGAAGTATTTATGCGTATGCCAATCAATTAATAAATTCTTGCCAAATGGACTTCTGGACTGAAATATCTCGATACAATATATGGCGATTTTGATTTTTGATGATCACAGATTCCACAATTCTTAATCTCAAGAATTGACAATTTAAATATAAGAAACAAACTAAATAAATTTTTGATGTAGACAGGAGATAGGGAATGGCCTTTGGGGAAAAAAAAGTATTTCATGAGTCAAAATGATTCAACTGAGTCATTCACTCTAAAATTAGTTGGGTCAAAAAAATAAACCTAGTCAAGTCAAAAATGGATTGACCAAACTTTTTGAGTTATTAATTTGCCCCAATTTTTGGGGGCAATTGTATTCCAATTTTGTGGGTTGCTTAGAAGAAAGCAATCCACAAAATTGGCTTGCTTTGTGGGTAATTCATTTCACCAAACTTTTTGGGTTAAACAACCCAAAAAGTAGTTGGTTCCTTTCTGACCCAATTTGGATTACTATTTACCCAGCTGTTTTTAAAGTTTTGTTATAAATGCACCTGTAATTATTTTTTTTTAAATACACGAGTACTTGAATCAAACTATTCAGCTTAGTCAACAAGTGATTGACTTGTTTTTCACGATACCTGAACACTTTCAGCCTACATGAGAAGGGGAACAAATATTTTCTCTTTGTGAGAACATTTGACTTCAGTAGTACCGGTAAATTATTTTTTGTAATGTCAGGATTCTTCCTTGTAATTGACAATTGATGTACTACTGTATTACCTCTTTAAAAATATTCTCCCTTAATTCTTATATGTGTTTCCTCAAAAAAAAAAAATGTATTTCATTATTTTATTCTCGAGTATTTTGTTTTTCTTCCATGTGTCCTTAAACTTGATGTAAAAATCCACTCCGTTCGACGTGTTATTCTTCGCACTTTAACAAATACGTAATGTCGAGTGTGACTTGACACGGCGTGGAAAAACACGTCTGGACAGACTCTCACTCTCACCTCACCTTTGCCGCATGAAGTGGAATTTAAACACGGTACAATAATAGCACAAGAACTTTCACATACTGCCCAATTTTTTTTTTTTTTTTATTGTGTCATTATCAGTAAAGGGGAAGGGTCGAGAATGATACTGTACGTGTGTGTGCGCTGAAGTTTCAGGAAACATGTTCCCAGAATAAAATAGATGTATTGTCTGCTTTAGTCTTGTGTGAGAAGCAAACTGTTCCACCCTGTCACGGAGAGATAGATGGCTTTTAAATGTGTGTGTGTGTGTGTGTGTGTGTGTGTGTGTGTGTGTGTGTGTGTGGAAACCTGTTGTTTGTACAGGAGCTCAGACTGTGTTCTCTCTGCTTTCCTGGCTAGATCACCGCCCATGAATTCGTGGCCAAAACCTCCCCGGATAGAAAAAAAAAAACAGGTATGGGCGAGCGTGCCCGCCGCTAACGCTTCCGACCTTTATTGCACATGTAACCGTGGGATGCCAAGAAAGGCGCAAAAGAGGACAGCAGAACCATGCTGAAGAATTACCACCTGGTCTACATTGGCCTGGAGCTGGCGATCGCCTGTCTGGCCGTGGCCGGGAATATCCTGGTGTGCTGGGCCGTGTGTCTCAATTCCAACCTGCAGAGCATCACTAACTTGTTTGTGGTGTCGCTGGCGGCGGCCGACATTGCTGTGGGCCTGCTGGCCATCCCTTTCGCCATCACTATCAGGTATCATTGAAACGATTTGCGTTTGTTTGGGTGGATGTCAAGCTTATTGCAGGTTTTTTTACCGAATCGAACCAAAGGCGATGAATATTTTTTTATAGTGGACTATAGTCGACTCAAGGTCATCGATGAATTTCATTTAAAGTCATGTATTTCGGCAACGAAAAACCAATATGGATCGGAAAATTGGTTTCAATTGATTTGAATAAATCAAAGCGAATGGAATCATTCCGCGTGAAAATGAGTCCTCTTTTTAAAATAATACAGAAAGCCTCATTTCAAAAAATGCATGAAACACCAGTACTGGCTTTTGCGCCGACTTCCACGGATGCCTTTTCATCGCTTGCTTCGTCCTGGTGTTGACCCAGAGCTCAATCTTTAGCCTGCTGGCCATCGCCGTGGACCGCTACATCGCGATCAAGAACCCGCTCAGGTAAGACGACACAAGAACAAGTAGTTGCAACTTTTAATTAAAGCAGCACCACCAGTTACTTTTCTATTAGATACTATACTATAGATTCTATACTATTATGGTATACTTTACCCATGATCTCTGCACTGTGAAGTGGGATGTTCTAACTCGTCGACCACCGTGCTGCCCTCTATTTTGGTTCGTCTAGAAGTAGGAGTATTTTTTTTTTAAATCATCCCTTTAATAGGTCTTTTCCCATAAATTCACGTGACTTCTCATGTCAGGTGAAATCCCGTCACGTGCGTGACTAGCATATCAAAACAACATGGCGGAAGCGCTGAAATCACCGCCCACAAGCTTGAAGGCAGCTGCCTTGAAGATTTTTGGTTGTAAAAAATTTAAAAAATAGCAATGAACTGAACTGATTTTCCTTTCCCCTAAAAACAAAAATAATTTAAATGTAAATGTCTGTGAAAACAAGCCTAAGGAAGCTGCATAAATCAATAGCAGGCCTGATATTGTTAAGAATGTTATTCTTTCACAATGGCACACCACTGACTTGAGCTGTTTAAACGTGCTTCATTAAAGCCAGAGTACAGTACATTCTTCCACCCTGAGAGGATATTCCATCTCGCATAAGCCACTGCAGGTGACTTATTTGCATAAGCGGTTGCATAACAGCTTGTTGTTTTTTTATTTTGCCTCTGGCACCAAAACCTCATCAAGTTAAATCTCCATTAGAACTTTTAAAGGGTTTCTGCAGCCTAGTGACCATGGTTTCATACGCAGGGAATATGTTAGGTGTGTGTGTGTGTGTGTGTGTGTGTGTGTGTGCATAGACAAAAAAAAAAAATGTGCCATTCTAAAATAAATAAATAAAACCTAAGACAAACTGAGTCCAAAACCGTAAAACATTCACTGGTATCCCACAAATGCTCATAATGTACAACAAACCAACAGTATATTACTTTTTTTTTTTTTTCAGAAATGTACCCCTCACGACCCAATAATAACTGGAAGAATATTGTCTTCTCGCAAAGCAACATTTGTGTTTGTCCTCATTTTTTCAGGTATAACAGCCTGGTAACTAGCCAGAGGGCAAAAGGTATCATTGCATTTTGCTGGCTCCTCTCAGTTGCCATCGGTCTGACCCCAATGCTGGGCTGGAATAAAGGTACTTGGTTTTCATGATAGAATTTAAAAAAAAAAAAAATCTGATTGAACTAATATTGAATGTAAAATAGATTGGGGGGAGAAAAATCAGAGCTAACTGCTCGATCTGGTGGTGACGTGTTCCCTTATTTCAATGTATTCAATTTCCATGAACCAGAGGCTAGTTAGAAAAATAGCTGTTGGTTTCTATCGTCCTCCAATTTGGAAAGCGTACCTGTTAAAAATAATCACAATAAAAATAAAACTTAGAAACAAACACGCATAGGAATTTGTCATTTGAAATGATGATGATAATATTGTACCACATCACAGATTATAGATCCAATCCTCAAACCCAAAAACGTATTTGCTTGATCTGGGTCTTCATTCACAATGCAGATCGACAAATGCAAACCCTAACTTGTCTTTAAAGGGCTAAAAAAAAGACATTGGCACGGACGGGCCTTTTGAATTTAAGCGCTCATCCATTACGTGTGTGTTATATGACAAGTAAGACAAAAGTAGACTACTGGTACGCCACGACCAGAATTCTCATTGACTTCCCTCTTTGGCACAGGATGGAACTCCACCACCGCTTCCACCAGCAGTTGTCCCGAAGGCTTGACCGAGTGCCTCTTTGAGGGAGTGGTTACACTGGACTACATGATCTACTTTAACTTCTTTGGCTGCGTGCTGCTGCCCCTGGTGGTCATGCTGGTGGTCTACGCTCATATCTTCATGGCTGCCCGGCGCCAGCTCCGTCTGATGGGCCTCAAAAAGGTGGCCCCAGCTCCCTCTCGCGCTGAAAAAGAATCGTCTTCGTTTCGCTCCACCCTTCATAAGGAGGTGCACGCTGCCAAATCTCTCGCCATCATCGTGGGCCTGTTTGCTTTTTGTTGGCTCCCCGTGCACATCATCAACTGTTTCAACTACCTGTGTGACAGCTGCCAACGTCCACACATCTGGGTGATGAACATCGCCATCATCCTGTCCCACGCCAACTCCGTCGTCAACCCCTTCATCTACGCCTATCGCATCCGAGAGTTCCGACAGACGTTTCGGAGAATTCTCCACCAGCACATTCTCGGCCAGAGGGACAACCGCTGCCTCTGGGTCGGGAGCGGCGATGGCCGAGACACGAGGAGCAGCAGCATCAAGCGGACTTCCTCGCGCATCAGTAAAGATGATTCGTCGTGCGGCACCGTGGTCAACAGCTACGTCCTCGACTCCAGCCAGTGGACGTCGACGTTGGGCACTCTACCAAACAGTTGCATACCCAATGGAAACCTAACAACACAGCAGTCGGAAGGGACCAACAGTGAGGAAGTGAGAGACATTGGAAGCGCTATTTCCTTTGTCAATGTTCAAGCTCTCTCCTACATACAGACCCACTCGACGGAATTGACAGAAGTGTCATAGACACAACACAACACGTCTTATCTAATGCAGACGATACAAATATTGGGACTGGAAATAAAGGAAATAGGATTTATGCATTCCAGGGCAATACCGCAGCCATCATGAAAAACACATCAGAGGCAACATCATCATGAAGGACTTTTGAGACTTTCCCATTTCATCAAAAATCTGAGGGTTTTCTATTGAACTTCATATTCATTCATGTGATGTTGTTAGAAATACATACCAGCATGTACTTTTTGTCAAATAAATGAACTGCAAGCAGATAATGTACATGCCAACGGCAGAATATGTGAGAATGCTGACAGGGTGGACAATGACAGAGTGGACATTTTGGGCAAATGTTTACATTTCACCAAAGTTATCTCTGCCGTCGGTGCTTCACCAAAGTTTGTAAAACCTAAAAATAATAAAACGCTCAGTCTTCATTTTGATAAGATATGAGTTAGCAGCTTCACAGATTGACGCCACGTACGGCATTTTACGTTATTTGAGGAATTGAACACCTGAAAACATAACCACAAATCGCCCCTAAATCATAATACCAATTGATACGTATGGTGATTAAAAATAAAAAATGTAAAAAACACCAAAACAGCCAAGGCGGAAATAAAATTGAACAATTTTGACTTTGTCTAAAAAAATTCAGGAAAATATCTACCAAAAAAATCAAAAGAAAATGTCAACCTACTGCATCACATTGTATCATCAATTGACTTTCTTTATTAGCAACTTTCACAAAGGGTTGCGGGCGGAAGAATTTTCTGGCTGAGATGCATCTGTTGTATTGTCCGTGAAATTATTTGGGGGAGCCATTGGAATGTCCCCTCCGGCAGCTTCACAGATTGACGCCACGTACGGCATTTTATGTTATTTGACGAATTGAACACCTTAAAATGTAAACCACAAATCCCCCCTGAAATCATAATGCCAATTGATACGTATGGTGATTAAATATTAAAAATGTAAAAAAACACCAAAACAGCCAAGGCGGAAATAAAATTGAACAATTCTGACTTTGTCGAAAAAAAATTCAGGAAAATATCTCCAAAAAAAATCTAAAGAAAATGTCACCCTACTGCATCACATTGTATCATCAATTGACTTTGTTTATTAGCAACTTTCACAAAGGGTTGCGGGCGGAAGATTTTTCTGGCTGAGATGCGTCTGTTGTATTGTCCGTGAAATTATTTGGAGGAGCCATTGGAATGTCCCCTCCACCGTCTGGCAGTCAATCGAACCCCCATCCCCACTTTTTTGCACGCCAATGGCCTTTTCGTGGTTCTGATGTGCATTCCCTGATGTCAATCAGCAGAATTATCTGTTGCAATTTCAACTTTGTGCAGTCTGAATTTTTGGGTTGCATTCAATAAATGATGTATGTTGTCCATGTTGCATTTTACAAAATGTATTTTTCTCAAAGCCCGACTTGTTGATACAACAGATATTTATCGACTTTTTTATGAAGTGTAAATAAGTCAAGTTGGGGAGCATGCAATGTTTAAAGAGAAGTCATCTGTTACCAAGGAACTTCTTAAATTGCAACAATTTGACGAGTGATTTGATAACTGCTAGGCAACATGTTGACACTTAACAGTTTTTTTCCCCACATATTATTCACCAGTACAGCCAAAACAAAGGGCTTGTTTTATCAGGTCAAATATGAGACCATATGCCTGCAACGGGGCGGCTTTCTGAGTCACATTTGTAGACACAGACTCCAACGAAAAAGAGACACGCACACACACAGCACACATCAGATTGCACTACAGACCACTCAACGAGAGGTGTTTACAGAGCAGCCCTACACTGACGCCAGCTTTAGAACTTAATGCAATGGAAATCAAATGTAGTCTTATTTGATGATCGCTTTTATTGTGCCATTACACTTTTTGTTTCCTCATTAAAAATCCATTGAAAGTCTGGCATTAAACAACATTTATGCGCCTCACAGGGACACGTTTCCCGGGAGTGACACACGTGACCATCTTGGTTAGCGCTGCAGTACAGCATATGCAATATTTCTATGCTTTATTCATTTCTTGCACTCTTAAGATATACACTCATACTCTTTAGTATAATAATTTAACTGCTGAAATTGACACTGGCAAATTTTTCACATTTCCCCCAACAAACTTTCTAAAATTAACAACAAAATATGTCCCCAAACCACATCGTAGGTCGTTTTTGAGCAAACATTCAAGATATGTAACATATCGTACATGTACTGTAGTTGGTGGTGGTTTGAGATTTTGGCCCTTTTACTCAATACTGCCATCATCTGTTAGGTAATGCTGCTCGACAAATCTTAAATCTGAGTAAAGGTCATTTTGGATTTATAATGTGCATTTATTAATTGAGTCAGATACAGAACTATATTTTTTTCAGTTGTGTGCTGTTCCATTATAAAATAAATCAGTGTGAAAATCAAAATGGATTCAGAAGAGGGTAATGGTTTAAAAAAAACACAAGTCCCACAATGCACTGTGCTACTAAACCGGAAGTATTTCAAAGTGCTGGGAGGTGCATTGTGGGTGGGCGGAAAAAGGCTCCAAAAGACGTAAGCGACCGACGAGTGCACGTTGCTTAGTCTTAGGCTAAAACAACAAGTGGAACCTTGTTTCGAAGCAATAATATTCCAGGTAAGAGCAACACAAAAGCTGTGAAATAGATTACGAAATTATTTTAATCTAATTAATGTTGTGTGTGTTTGGCTGAATGAGCACCCGTTGTAATTCATTGCATCTTCCAACATGGCTCCCTCCGTTCATGCTCGAGCTGCTAAAAGATTTACCATTCGCGTTTAATTTAATCGAATCATAGATTCTGGTTTGTGTTCATGAATTTAAATCCTTAAAACTTTTTTTGGGCCTGCTCTTTGTAAGTTTATTACTTTGGTTGAATTCAGTGTTCGCTAGCCGGTTGTAGCCAATTAAGCTAACCTAACACCTGATGGCGTCACATAGTACCTTGTGTTGGCGTTTTAATTAAAAGACCAAATAGCGTGCACAAATTACCATTTTTCAACATCGAATTGTGAAATTGAAGTTCGTTGCTGTAATTAGTTTGCATCTTTTGCAGCGACAGCCGAGAAAAGCCATTCGTTTTCACGAAATTGATTGACGTTATACAAAGACTCGACACTATGAGTTACCCCTTTAGTACAACTAATGTGAATATTTGAGTTCGATGAAGTCCGAAAATCCTAGTTCAGGATTAACCAACAAATGAATCATAGGAGTGTTAGGTTTCTGCTGTTGTCGACTCTTCACATTTGTTGTCACCATGAAACAGCATACATTTACTCAATGAAGTAAGGATGTTTCCACCTGAATGCCAAAAAGTAACAGAATAAATATATTGCTGTATGTTTTCCTTGTTGTCACCATGAAACAGCATACATTTACTCAATTGAAGTAAGGATGTTTCCCCCTGAATGCCAAAAAGTAACAGAATTAATATATTGCTGTATGTTTTCTAGGAAAGTAGCTCAAAATGTCGATTGGTGTGCCCATCAAAGTCCTGCATGAAGCCGAGGGACACATTGTGACCTGCGAGACCAACACTGGAGAGGTGTATCGAGGCAAGCTTATTGAGGCCGAAGACAATATGAACTGCCAGGTGATGCAATGCCACATCATGCTGTTCTTCCTCATAGTTTGTAGAATTAGTTATGCCAACTAACTTTGAAAGCAAGAACTTAATTGAATGAACCGTTGGCTAATTCAAGGGAGACATGCACAAAATCAGCATGACTTGTCTAATCCCTTAACAAAGCCTATATTTTATTTACCTTCAAGACATTTCCCGTGACTTGTAAATTTGAGCTTGTTGTTTGTTCATCTAACTAACTTTGAAAGCAAGAACTTAATTGAATGAACGTTGGTTAATTCAAGGGAGACATGCACAAATTCAGCATGACTTGTCTAATCCCTGAACAAAGCTTATATTTTATTTACCTTCAAGACATTTCCAGTGACTTGTAAATTTGACCTTGTTGTTTGTTCTTCGGCTTCACAGATGTCGAACATCACGGTGACCTATCGGGACGGGCGTGTGGCCCAACTGGAGCAAGTGTACATCCGGGGCAGCAAGATTCGCTTCCTGATTTTACCGGACATGCTAAAGAATGCGCCCATGCTGAAGAGTATGAAGAATAAGAACCAGGGCTCTGGTGCTGGGAGAGGCAAGGCAGCCATCCTCAAAGCACAAGGTGGGTAACACTCTTGGAAACCCCAGTCAGAGGTACCACGTTATTGGAATTGAAGATAGTGGCACGAAGTGGACAGAAATAGGATCTGCACCACACATGCATATTTTAAAAGAGAAAGGACTCCCACTCCCCCTGATTTTTCTCCCTACAAGCAGAAACCTTGTAAAGTCCTCAAAGGGCCAAACTAACCTTCAGAGAGAAAAAATATATAATGCAATAATTATGTTTAAATTATGATTGTGTGTGGATTTAATATGGGCTTTTTACGGTTCCTCTGTGGGTTTATTAGATGCTAGAACTGAATCGTGGGCTTGCTCAAATGCTCCGGTGGATTGATTGTTGCACAGTGCTGTTGTCACTTGCCAATATAATTCTTTTTTTCTCACCAGTGGCCGCAAGAGGCAGAGGGCGTGGTGGAATGGGAAGAGGAAATATGTTCCAAAAGAGGCGATAATTGTTGCAGCCTTTTGCTTTTTGTATAGTTGGTTTGTTTTTGTTTGTTTGGTTTTTTTTTAATCCACCCACCTTCAATTGGTGATCTTGTTCTTGATCGTGCGTGTTGCAATGTATTGCTCCAAATTCATTTTTTAATGAAAAATAAACATTTGAAATTGATATTCTCTTGTTTTTTTTAACCGAACTGAACTTGTAATGTGTTTTTTCTTTTTCCCTTTAAAAGAACATTTCCATCAAGTCACTATCTGAAATTTTTGACTAATTGACTTTTAATTATACAGTACATATGGTGTATAATACCTAATACCATTTCTTCGCTCGCCTAATATCGCCTATTTTTGAAAAATAAAAAAACACGACAGAAGGATAGGGCAGTTGCCTTGAATTCAGCTTTTGTGAGTTATCAAGGTCTGGGTGACTTCGGATCCACACGTAAGTAAAGAAAAAGCACTCTTTTTAGCAAGCTTTTATTTTTTGGTGTTGTCTCAGCACTCTTTTTAGCAAGCTTTTATTTTTTGGTGTCACACTAAGTCAAACATGACGTGGACTATTAAGCTATCGAATGCGGGGTTGCAAATGAAACGCGCACCAATGTTTCTTGGACAAATGATGTTGTGTTCTAAGACTCCAAAGTGCAAAAATAGTTTGGTGTCGGAAGGATCTGTGATGAGGCATTTCAAACATTTTTCTTTGCGTTTATTGAAGCGATTAAGTTCCTTTGTTTACGTCGGTCATATCACATTTTGAGGTTATGAACGATGAAAAGAGACGTTTTTTTGTCTTACTACTGCATAAGTGCGCAATTAAAACGTGCTTTTGTCGTTTTATCTCTTGGAACGGAGCTTCGTCGTAAAACGAGGAGGCCTGGGATGACTCTTTGGAATCGACCTGCACGTTCCCATTGGGCCACGAGGGGAGCCATTGGACCACCGATTGAAGTGGAGATTCCCGAGAGCCAAGTATAAAATTTAGGTCATAAGATAAACAAGATTTGTACAGAAGCCAGCACAGTCTCTCTCGGTGGGCGTCGCTTTATTTCGACTTACTTACTGTCCTCACTCCCGCCTCACTCTCTTTTTCTTTATTTTGTTTTGTCTTGCGAATACTACTTAAGCGTTGTGAGGCACTTGCTCCGTCACATTGCTCGACTGCACTTGGAGCTAGCTGTCACATCTCCACCGCCTCGGATGGGGCGAGACCACTTCATACAATTTCACTGTGTAGGCCGAAAGAACACGACAAGGTAATCTTTTATTTTCCAACCACGCGCGGCCTTTTGCTTCCGAGTTTCTCGTCGCTTTGACACTAGCATCTTTGCCTCCCGTGTTAACATCTGGAACCTCGACCGGGGGAGGCAGCGTCTGCTAACGTTAGCCGAGTTAGCCTAGTGGGACGTTTCGGGTACGATACTTCACAATGAACTATACTATACTCACCATTACGTACAATATATGCTTGTTGTTTAATTGACATTTAGAACAGCTCACCCGGATCAACATTCGTTGCATTATTAAGATAATTAATGGAATGGTTTATGTCGACTTTAATTTGTGTTATTGAACCTAAATTGGTCGTGAGAAAGAGGAGGGCATTGAACGCATCATTGTATCACACGCTAGTGTTGACGTGCAATGGAAACATTCTACAGTATGATCTACCAAAGTATTCACACAGCTGATGTTTTGTAATCCAGTATATGCATTCGTTGTGATATGCTAACAATTACCAGAATACATGTGGTCGAAGAGAAACATTTTTGCGATCTATTGTTGAGGTTTGATTACTGATCAATTCAATTTACTTGGAACAATGACAGTTAATGACCTAGACTGGGAATCACTTCAAATGTGTTTTATATAATCTTAAAACTGTATAAAAATAGTTAATTAGCAGTTATAGTAACATTAGTAGATTTTAATGAATGAATTTACTCATGTTGTCGCCAGGGGATATTTTTTTCTTTTTACCCCCCCTACACATAAGGGGTGTTCGTTCACACGGCAACATTTGCTCCGGTGCAGCGCAGGGGCTGCGCCAATAGAGCGTTCACACGTGCAAAGTTACACCGGTGTAGCCCCTGAAAACAGCTTAAACCGGAGCAAATTTAACCCTGCACAGCGAGAGATTAAATGTACACACTTCCAGTCATGTATGGTTTGTTATGACATTTATTCAGCTGTGATTACATGTTAGTGTTTAAATGAAGTTGGTCAAGGATGCTCATCCGTCCATTTACTGCAGCTTATCCCTTCCATGGATCACTCTCAGGGTCGCCTTATGTTGATCTCATAATGAAGCTGTAGATCCTCCTCTCATCCAGATGGCCTCTGTGTGTTGTACATGTATGTCTTTAGTACAGCGTCCGCGTGCTTACGTTTCATGCTGCAAACTGCATCTGACTTTGTTCGCCACCCTCACACAAGTTCCGCTAATCAACCTTACTCCCCTGTTAGAGAAGGTCAGGCCACGTAATTTTTGGGAGAATAAGACATTAAGTAGACCATCTGGAGCTGGGCAGCAGGTACTTGAAAAGGCTTGAATCAGACGGTTTTCTTCAGATTTTTCCATTTCGGTGCTCTGATCAGAGCGGATCAGTAAAGCTCAAGGCTTCAGACTGATTTTCATATCGTGATAGTTGCAGCCTTTTTTTTAATGTATTTTTTTTTCAAAATCATCACAAGGTATTGTATCAATGTTAGCTATTTCAATGTAGCCTACCATCGATAAAACGTATTGTAATTTCCGTACAACTGGTCAAAGATAGCCACACAATAAAAACTCAATAGTGACCACTCACGACCAGACTCCAGGTCCATCCTGGCTAATGGTTAGCCAGTTAACAGCCATCCTCTCACGTAAGGCTTGAGAAATGGCTACAAAAAAATACATATGTAATTTTTTTTTTTTTCCCAAGGCAAGCAGGTATTGTATTGATTGAATGCTGTGGTATCGTGTGCTCTCTTCAAATCGGATTTGTTACAGTAGCCACTATCGTAACTGTAGCCCTTGTCATCCTTCTCTTGGATATTGTGATGAATGACAAAGGTCTTCATTTTGAGAGCCGTTGGAGATGAAAGGTACGTATGTGGAGGAGGCTGGAAAATAACTCGTTGACGCACTGGAGTCAGAGGAGAACTGAGGAGGCGGATACAGTATAGCCACTTAGATTTGAGAGCGGTCCAGATTTACATCGGTGCTTCTTAGCGTCTGCGAAACCATATCACAGCCTGCTTGCTCAGAGCTGACATGATATCAGCCAAATAGCAGAGACGTGTCCAAGTTAACGGCTCAACATCCCATTTGCAACGGATGGATGGAGAAAGTGGAATCTTCACAGCAACCAAAAGTATTTTATTGTATATTTTATGAATACCAAAATTCAACAGTTTTCAATGTATTTCAAAAAGTTCAACAATAATTGCTCCACCTTGAAACACAAGCTGGCTGACGTCAAAGCACACCTGCGAGTGCTACTCACTTTCCATCCCTGATGGTCATGTGTTAGCATATCACCAGATGTTTGTGTTTTCTCTCAGTCTTTTTTTTAGGCGTCATCCCAAATGATGGACCAGTTGTCAGCGTTTGCGAAGAGGCACCATGTTCCCCTGTCACGTAAGCGCCTGGCCAGCTGCTGAGCCCGTCGCCTCCTGCGGCAGTCATGCACCAGCGGCGCAGCCTTCACAATCGTTCCCCGATCTGCTGTGCAGCTGTCCCGCGCCACCGTTGAGCGCCCACTCCAAAACACCGTCTTCGGACACCATGGAGTCCCTCATTGTGGTCACAGAGTGCGAACCCCGCAGACCATTTGGGGCCCCTGGCGGGGAGGAGGAGGTAGGCTTTAACACACCTAACATCTTACATGTCTCAAGAAGTACAGTGCGATCTCAAAAATGAAAGGCACATTGCATCAAGCAATTCTGAATTCCACCAGAAATGTGTTCGGTGGATGTAAAAAGTCGACAAAGTTCTTCAAATGCCAGGTTTAAAAAAAATAAAATAAATAAAGCCAAGATATGTCTTTTTTTTTGTTTGATTGTTTGAAGGCTTCTGTCTGTTCAATCGAGATTTCTGTTCTTCACTGTCCACTTACTTCCTCACTACTCAGGTCGAAGAAATGGACAGCTCCGAACCGCCGCCCCTGCCCACTCCGTCGTGCGACCTTCTCTCTCACACAGTCGGCCGCTCGGAGGCACTCTTGCCGGCCGGCGAAGAGCAACGAGCACGGCTGAATCTGTCGGACAGGAAACTGTCATTGCAGGAGCGCTCGCAAACGCAGATTTCCCCCTGCAGTTCCCCGGGACTCAACGGCCGTTACATTTATCCGTCGTTACCGTACTCCCCCATCACATCACCTCACTCTTCTCCACGCTTGCCACGCCGGCCCACTGTGGAATCCCACAGCGTCTCCATCACAGACCTCCAGGTATGGCAGAAATTGGCACACTATTACCATTTGATGGATCGGATGTTTGTTCGTCTCTGTGTGCCCTGCGATTGGCTGGCAACCAGTTCAGGGTGTCCCCCCGACTACTGCCCGACGACTGCTGGAATAGGCTCCAGCACGCCCGCGACCCTCGTGAGGATAAGCAGATTCGAAAATGGATGAATAAATGGATGGCCCTCTGCATTCGCCAAAAAAAAAAAAAAAAAAAAAATGGCATTGTTTTTAAAGCATGATGTCGCATTTTAAACCCCTGCCCCAACTCCCATCTTCATTTGTCTCGAAAGCAGCAATGCCACTGGTAAAGAGTGATCTTTGTGGATGCAAAGGTAAGGATTTATAGTCGGTAGACATTAATAGCAAATGAATGAGCTGGAAATTGACATAGAAATTGACATTATAACCCCCCCGACCCTCCACCCCTCATCTCCCGTTAGTTGAGACTTCCTTACCCAGTGATTGGCACAACTAGTAGGCGCCATGTTGTGATTTCTTTGTCGATTTGAATGATTTAACTGCTCTGTCAAACAGACACACCTTTGTTTAAAAATGCAGATAATGGGGAGTTTGTCCTGTATTTTATACTCGGAGCACTTGGAGTCCGCCGCCTGGCTCATAACACTACATTTAAAAATAGCATCTTGCTTAGTCACCGTATCCCTCCGTGGCGAAGTATTCTCTGTAGTCTGGCTTCAGATGCTTCTCAGCAGTGTCTTTGTTCTCATCCGTCTTTGGCACCTGCTGTTTAAAAAAAAAAAAGGGAAAAAAAAGGCCGCAGGACAAAATGTTCTACAAAGCTGCATCATAAGTCTTGTCTGTGGAATCGCAGACATGCCGCATAATAAGCCGAAAATGATTCCGTCAACTCTTCAGAGTTGTTTCAGATTTGTTCCATTTGTGAGGGCGGCTCAGTCCGTGATGTTCCAAATGCTTGTGAACCTTGAATTCTTTTCTCTCTCGAGCCGTCGAAGGCATTTGATTGACGCAAAGCAAGCTTTCATAGAATGTCCTTGCTGATCACATTTTATAAGGACATTTTTTAAAAGCTTTTTTTTTTTTTAAATGCATCTAACTGCTGCATTTATGAGAAAATCAAGCATGTTCTGCTCCTCTTTCTCTCCTGTCTCTTTGGCTGCTCCTCAAGGACTGCGTTCAACTCAACCAGTACAAGCTGAAAGACGAGATTGGAAAGGTATCGTTAAATTTTGTTCCCATCCGCCAACTCCTCTGTCACTTTCCCCCCTCTTTTTCTGTCAAGTCACGTTCATCGCAGAGGACAGGCAACACGCTCTCTGACATCCTCCTTCCCAGATGTCCTCATTTCGAGAGCTGCGTGTGATCCAGCCGGTCCACTGCAGAGTCGGAAGATACCACGAGGGGCTGGTATAAATAGGACTCTCAAAAGAGTTGGGCTGGACTCTGCGGATCTTGCTTGTCAATGTAGATTTACAGCACTGTAAAGTGGAAATGGGTCTTGATTTAAAAATAGTGGATGTAGATAGTGGCATGCATCTAGTCGCATTCATGAGCTTTTTTTTTAACCTCCATTACTATTAGGTGTCATAGATGAGAGCTCTACAAAAAAAAAAAAAACTGCACTATACCAAAAATACGCTCGAGAAACGTGTACACTACTCGCTCCAGTGAAATCAACGGACTTGTCAGCCCTCTCACATTCCTCCATGTTTGTGTATTTGATCTTGTGCGCTATTCTTTGCGTGTTGTTTCCCATAAAGCATCGACAGCTGCTCCATCTCATGTCATTGGCTCCTGTTACACTTTCTGTTTCTCCTCCTCCTCCCCTTCCCGAACTACTCCAGGGCTCCTACGGCGTTGTCAAGCTGGCGTACAACGAAGACGACAACACCTACTATGTGAGTCATTCAAACGCTTGACACGTACGCAACGCAACACGGATGCAACGTGAACGTTTTGTTTTCACTCGCTTCGTGACTTTGAAGGCACAATTCTTCCAAAAATTATACTTTAGAGTACCCATGTTGATGGTGTGTCATTTTTTTTCTCCGTTTAATCCATCCAGGCCATGAAGGTTCTGTCCAAGAAGAGGCTGATGAGGCAAGCAGGTTTCCCACGTAAGTCCGCATCCAGATAGCGTCCATAACTCCTCAGCACATTCTGATGTTGTTTGCTACGACTATCGATGTATTTTCTCCCCATTCAGGACGACCGCCACCTCGCGGTGCCAGAGCGATTCCTGAGGGCCCCCCTCAGCCCAAAGGGCCCCTGGAGCGGGTCTACCAAGAGATCGCCATCCTGAAAAAGTTGGACCATTCTAACGTCGTCAAATTAGTAGAGGTGAAGGACACTTTGATTGTTGGTAAATATTATAGTCCGAATACATTGGTAAATATGAAATGCTAAGGATGCTATGACAAAAAAAATAAATAAATCGTGGGGGTTGAGAGGGAGAGGGAAATCACTTGTTTTTCACAATTTCATTGGATTAAAATTTGTCAGAGCCATATCCGAAAAACACATTGTGTATCATACATAAGCCCGAGTTGACATTTCATGATATGAAAATGTTATTTAATGTCATTGGGTGTCATGTTACGTTATAAAACAAAGACTGTTAAGACTAATTCTATTTATGGGCTGAATGCATTCATTGTGTGTGTGTTGTGTGTGTGTTTTCATTTTCATCTCTGTGTGATTCGGTGCCAGGTTTTGGATGACCCCAGTGAGGACCATCTGTACATGGGTATGTCGTGGCCCCGACAACCTTACCTTCTGCGCAAGACAGTACATGCACATACATACAGGATCCATATAAAATTATGATGATTTTTCCACTTGACGGGACCGCAAATCATTGCTTTACTAATCACGTGTTTGTGTTACAGTGTTTGAACTGGTCAAGCAAGGGTAAGCTTCAGCCTCTCCTTTTATTTTTAACGGTTGTGACACCGGAGTGAATTCAATGTTGTTAGTTTTGATTGCTAATCGCGTGTGTGTCTAGGGCTGTGATGGAGGTGCCGACAGATAAACCCTTCAGTGAGGACCAAGCGCGCTTTTATTTCCAGGATCTGCTCAGGGGAATCGAGTATTGTGAGTCCCCACACACATCCTGGTTTTTTTTGACCCAGTCTCTCACTGCACGTTAGTTTGAATGACATCAAACGCCCCCCCACCCCCTTTTTTTTTTAAACATACATTGAATGCAGTACCATATAAGCAATTACGATGAATTTATCTACATTGTGAAGTCTGCAAAATTCATGCCGTCACGTGGAGGATAATGTCACATTCCGTTTTCACAGTGCATTATCAGCGAATCATCCACAGAGACGTCAAGCCCTCCAACCTGCTGGTGGGAGAGGACGGCCACATCAAGATCGCCGACTTCGGCGTCAGCAACCAGTTTGAGGGAGCGGACGCTCTCTTGACAAGCACTGTGGGAACACCGGCCTTCCTCGCCCCTGAAACACTGTCGGAGACCAGGAAAAACTTCTCCGGCAAGGTAAAGTAGATGGCAGATGACTCACGGGCGCCCTCTGGAGGTGATGGGCAGTAATACAAGATCATTTCCTGTTGTAAAAAAATAATAATAATTTTAAAAAATGCAGTTATCATTCATACAGTCTGGTCTCATATACTAATATGCACGTTGTTTAATATTCCTACAGGCTTTGGATGTTTGGGCAATGGGTGTGACACTTCATTGCTTTGTCTTTGGATCGGTGAGTTAGTGCATCATTTTAGTGAGGATCGTTTGAAACCAAAAAGTCTGTTTATTTGTTTTCCATTTTCAGTGTCCATTTATGGATGAACGCATCCTCAATCTGCATCAGAAAATCAAGACACAGCCAGTGGAATTACCTGAACAGTGAGTTTGTATTTTTATTTTTTTATTTTTTTAACAGTGGCTTGTGTGGTCACGTTTCCAATGAAGATCCAGTATAAAAGTCATGTTGTCTCAACAGTGCCGACATATCAGATGATCTCAAGGATTTGTTGCTCAAAATGCTGGATAAGAATCCCGAAACCAGAATATCAATTCCACAGATTAAGGTAAATAAAATCTGAACGTTTTACTGATAACTCTGCAGGACTTCAATCGGATTATCATCTTTTGTCCGAAGTCAGTTTTCGTGTTGTTTTCTCGGACCCAGCGGAGTATTTTCGATTGCTGATTTTGTGTTCAGGTGCACCCGTGGGTGACGAGACACGGCGCAGAGCCCCTCCCACCAGAAGATGACAACTGCTGTACGCTGATTGAGGTGACTGAGGAAGAAGTGGAGAATTCAGTGAAACACATCCCGAGCCTGGCAACAGTGGTACGTACGCCACATGCATCCTTGTGGCTCACTCCATAAACTGAATGATGGACAAAATACAGCCTGATAAATTTAGGCTGTGGATATTTTTTGTTTTCAAATTTACATCAAAGCGTTTTCGGGAAAGAAAGAAAATTAACAAGAAGAGTCCAGTTGCCTTGATTCAGCTTTTGTGATCACCTGGTTGACTGAGAAGCTACACATGAGTATATACAATGGTTCCCTATCTCGTGGTCCTTGTGTTTTTTTGTTATTGTTTTTTTTTTTTAATTCATGCAGTGCTGTATTCAATTGTCAGATTCTGGTGAGAACCATGTTGCGAAAGCGCTCCTTTGGGAACCCCTTTGACTGGGCACGGAAAGAGGCATGCAGTAACTCGTGCACTTCAGGACAGACGTAAGGACACACACTCACATGCACACACTCAAGTCAAATATTGGACATCCTTGTATCACTAGCCACGTGTGATACTGCAATAGTGAGTTCTAGATAAACGACGGGACCAGAAGCGGTATTTCTCAACAGTTTCAAACTTTTAAGAGTGACTTCTGAACCGAGCAAAATGTCTTCGCTCACCCAAAGAGCAGCATCCCGTGAAACGATTTAACAGAACATGAGACCATGCGTCATGTAGCGCATGAAGGCAAAATTGTTTCACTTCATTGAGCTCTCGCCACAATTTTGAAAAGCATGACAGAGTTCACTTTTTGTCTGGGAAATCATCTGCTTAGTCCTCGGTACCTCCAGTAGCACCATAGCTTCTGTTTGCTTTTTGTAGAAATGTAAGAAATTCAGTGCCATCCAAGCTTTGATAAGACAGGACAAAAGTGTCCTTTGCTCGGCGGACATAGATCTGACTGTTATCCGCATAGCAGTGGAAGGAAATACCAAATTTTCTTAGGATGGAACCTAAGGTCAACAAATACGATGAAAACAGCAGGGGCCCCAATATAGAACCCTGAGGAACACCATACGACAGAGGGACAGAGTGGGACTCGGAGCAGCCGAAAACTGCCATTGCCAGTGATAACCGTCCCACGGTAATGTTCTTGACAGAAATGTGAAAATATGGAAAGTCCAAATAAATTGTTCTGGAATTGAATTTTTTTACAGAACTTTTACAGAAAATCTTGTCGTTTTATCCAATTTTGTCCCTTCATCTTGTCCAAAATCTGGCCAAGACCCTCGAGCGCTGATGTCTTTCCGTCGTGGCTCATTTTCCTCTGCGCGCGGTTATGCAGTCCAAACATCAGCTGGTGGCGTTGCCTCACTTGTCGTTGCATGGCTGTGTGTGCACTCCTAAAGGAAGCAGCAGCCTGCAGACAGTATGAGGAACATTGAGCCGCCCTATGTTGGAGAAGACGAGGCTCTTTCCTGATGCAGTAGTGTGTGTGTGTATTCTTCACAACATCCCTTTCATCGTCACTTTTCTACTTTGTACTTTTCCGGGGAGGTGGAACACGCGACGGTGAGAAAACGAGCGGGGTCGTTTATAAGGCAAGAGCGTGCTAACAGTCCCCTTCTCTTTGCATGCGTCTTTTAGCGTTAGCATGCTCAGTCTCAGGCTTATGTGTGTCATATGCTAGTTTAGAGCAGCCCCCTCCCTAAAATTCTTGCTCCTTACTTGACAACTCTTATCAGGTATGCTGGGAGGGTTGGGCGGTGGTGGTGATCACGGCACACACTTTTAGGAAGTCAGGGATTAGTTCTCGGTCTTCACCACCACCTGAAGTTTAAAAAAAAAAAAATCACTCTTGCGAATGAGTGGTACCATCTCATGTGACATATTGTATTGAAAGAAGTATGGCAGGGAGTGCTGAATTGTTTACTGACTGCATGTGTTCCTTGTGGATTTCGAAGCTATTCGACTTTTTTTTTCTGACATTCCATTTACTAACATTTAAAAAGCTTTAAGATCACTCGGTGTAGTGCTTTGTGAACAATCAGACTCTTCTTCATTGCTCCATACAAAAGTGGAGAGTTGCAAGGGGCATAGTGCTTCTGTTGAATCTTTTTGGATGAAAGGAACTTCATATAGGGGAGGGTCCCAAAAGTCCCCATACATTTTTTTTTCAACTATTCAGATTCAGATTCACTATGCGCACATACACTCCATTGCAATCGCTGTTTCTTTTTTTTAACGTATTTTCGATTCACCAATCCTCAAAGCCGGCATTTTTTTTTCCTTTGGTGGTTCAACTATGTTCATCCTCATTGGTTGAGTTTCAAATTGCGCATCAAAGATTGATTGACAGGGACGACATGATTGAAATTTTCATTTTCATGGCGCACTTTTGAACAAAACTGGAGCGGAAAGGTGCAAAGGGACTTTTGGGACACGCGTTATGTATAATCTCTTTTTGATTCTGTCGTGTTTGTAATGTTTCAACTACACGTTAGTCCTCCAATCATTTGGAATGATGACACTCTTGCTTCTTGAACCTCAAGTGAAACTAGTGAATGTTCTTATTTGTGTTTTTGTATGTAAAAAGAAAAAAAGCACTGATGTTCATTTACAATTGCACATTTTAAAAAGACACCCAAAAAATTAGACTGTGCATAAGTTTTTTATTTTATGTAAAGCAACTGGAAAAAAAAACTTTGACTACATTTTGAAATAGGTAATGCATCTGAAGTTTTTTTTTTACACAAATCAAAATCTATGCATGACATATCTAGAGGAAAAATTACAATGAATAAAATTTAAAAAAAACAAACAAGATGTGCCATGTTGGGGGTGGAATTTCTAACTAATATTTATTAGCTGTGATTTTTGTGAACCTTTTTTTTCACATTTTGTTCGCTTCGTTTCTGTTTTCACCGCATTAGAAGCAGATGGAATTACCGGATGTGTATAATTAACATGTCAATATTATATTTAATGCGCCTACACAAGAATTATTTCAGCACTAATGTGTGCTCAATGTACACGAAAGGGAAACTTCTTTCATATTACTCTGTGCTGCGAGTCAAATTTGTATTCTTTCTTTTTTGTTGTTGTTATTTGTTTTAAACATGAGCACTATGCATTAGTGTTTTTTTCTACTCTTAGTGCAATTTACGTTTTGTGTCAAGTGCGAGCACTACAAAGGAGTTATTTGGGCCACAATGGATTTTTTTTGGGGGGGGGGGATAAAAAGCCCGAATCTTATGACTATGAAATCTAGACACTTTTTAGATTCTGTCCGAAAAAGATTTGATTGTGAACCCTCCTCCTTCTATCTATCTATCTATCTATCTATCTATCTATCTATCTATCTATCTATCTATCTATCTATCTATCTATCTATCTATCTAATCTAATCTAATCTCCTCATGGCCCGAATACTCAAATTGCTCAGAGTGCAATGGCTCACAGCACAAAACAATGATAGGCTGCTGCTGCTGCTGCAAGTAATCCTAATAATGATTCGTGAGAGATATTCCAAATATACTCTCCATTATCGGTCATGTTAAGTAACAGTGAAGGTGAAAATTTGAATGTTTTTGGCGCTGATGAATTGCCAAACAGTATTTTAAACTTGTTTTATTATGAAACATTTAGAAGTAAGTAAGTACTACAAGGAATAAGGTCATGGCTTTAATTTCAACGTATGAAACTATCAGTAAGTTTGAACTATTTCATAAAAAAATGAAAAATAAAAAAAGATAAAAACTATATGGGTATTTATCTCTTCAAAGTGCATGCAAACACAATTATCCTCTGTAATGTCAGCATGAGACGCCCTTGGCAACGACAACAGGACTTTATTCTACACATACTGTATCTTCTTAAATGTTTGAATAAAAATATGACCACCTTTACTTTGGCTCCATTTGGATTATGTAATGTTGTGAAGAGGCGGCACATTGTTCGACTGGTTAGCACGCCCACCTTACAGTACAGAGGTGCAGGGTTCGATTCTGCCTCCGGCCTTCCTGTGTGAAGTTGGCTTGTTCTCCGTGTGCCTGTGTGGGTTTTCCCCACATTTCCCTCCCACATTACAAAAACATGCATGACTGGAACAGTCTAAGTCAGACCCAGGCATTTTACGGCCCGCGGGCCCTTATTGCTCTCACTGACAGTCGAAGAGTTGCTTGGAATTAAGAAAATAAAACAATAGTACTTCCCAATTTTTTGGTTTATTGGATATAAGAAAAAAATAAAAACTACTTTAAAAATTTTGCGTAGTGCGTGGACGAAAACAGCACGACTTTTACTTTGAAACCTGCTTACGATGTCCGTGCGTCGTTTACGTACAGGTACAGGTGATTCTGATTAGTTTGTGGTGAGCCGGTCGCCGCCTTGAAGGACTCGAATGTGACTCGGCATTACGCGACGAAACATGCGGAAAAATACAGACTTGGAGAATTTGACTGAGGCTGGGAAAGCGCAGTTATCCGAGGTTTGGCATGCGAAGCTAGAAAAACAACAAGGCTATTTGACCGAGCACCACGCAACCTGTGAAGCGGCAATTAGGAGCAGCTTTGTGATAGCCCACAACATCGCTTCGAACACCCAAGCCATTTTTCGGAAGGGACTTTGGTGATTGGTGGACTATGCAGCGCTACTATGCCCGGAGCAACAAAAGAAGCTCAACAAATCCAGGTACAGACCCTCTCTTACTGATGAGCATCTGTCATGTGCTGTTATGAGTTATGTTACATTATTACTGGCATGCGAAGACATTGTGGTATCTTCAAGGAAAGTTACAATCTGAAAGCGTTGTGGTGTTCATGTTCCTGAAAAAGTTACAAATGTTGCACAATTACAATTGTTTTGCTTAATTGGTGTGAGGTGTGGATTCACCAGAACATTTTCTGTAGTCAGAGAGGGGTAAAAATATGTCATTTATCATGGTTTGATGAAACTAAGGATGAACTTTTTAGCCATAGAGTGTGAACCCCCAATATTCATGGGGGATAGGGAACAGGTCAGCCTGCGTACAGTACAGTTGCCTGTAGATGTATTTAGCATCGCCTTGGGCTCTCCACCCGATAAATCGAAACATTACCTTTCAGAGTCAAAGTTATATTGACAAGACTTGTAAATTAATAATTCCTCAACTCATTCCCAAGTGCAAATCAGTTTTCAAAGTAGGGTTAGGGTTTCAAAGTCGTTTTGAACTCGAGTCCCACTTCTGTTCAAACTACTGTAGTTTCAAACGGTCGCCATCTTCTGGCCTGTATGTGAATTGACGTCGGGGTGACAACTTCTGGCCATCTAAAATCAATATCGAGAAATTTTTCGCGAACTAAAATGTTTGTCATTTTCCATATTTTGGGGGGTACGGACGTCACGGAAAGAAAGGCATTTGAAGAGCTGCACTTTATTCAGAGCCACATCCAGTGACACTTTTTCAACTCACCATAAAGAATCAAAGTTTCATGTTTTATAGCACGAGTGCTAATTCTTAACACTTGTCCACAGGACACATACTGTATTAGAAAATACTGTACGATACAATAGATGAAATTCAAGGAGGTCGACAGAAAACAAGAAAGTTGACTATTTACAATATATGGCATTGTAATATTAATTTTTACGCTGGAGAACCCAAGAACCCTTTTCTTCTTTGGAAAATTATGAATTATACATTAAATGACTGCTATAAATTCACTGAACACCAAAATGTATGTGGGGGTTTTTTTTTCGATTTTAACCCTTTATTCCCTAATTTAGGATTAGGGCGAAATTTGACCCTTTGGGATTTAGGGATATCATTTTCGAAAAATCAGAATAACAAAAACTGTCAATAAACTATTTAAAATTTAAGAAAATAATCAAATACAGAGCTACATTGAACAACATATATATTTTTTGTTTTATTTGTTGCATTTTAGAACTGGATTTTGAATGTACAAACACACTTTAGCCAATGGAAACAAGAACACAGGGACAAAATCACTGCTGGGAAAAAAAAAACAAAACAAAACACCATTGGTCCTTCTTATCCAAAAATCTGTCACACCTCTCACTAGACATTGTGATCGTCTTTGAAACAATTTCTTTTGTGGTTAATGCAGAGAGGTACTGCACATTTTTCAAATTCACCACCCTCACTTTCATGCGGTTGAAACAATTCATCCGAATCACTATCGCTGTCCAATTCTGCGCCAAAGTCACTATCATCAGCTTCATCTTGTTCCAATACTTGTCTTACAGTGTACTTTCTCTGTTGCTTTCCCTGTCCTAAAGAGCAACTGGCCATACTCCCTGAAAAGATATAGGTATTTATTAGTCCCTGTACCTTTTAGTTGAGTAAAATACATTACCGGTACACAAATGAACGAATTTCAAGTCTTTAGCCAAATACAAGACTGTCACCATTCTCTGTGACATAGTCACCAGAACCAATGTGGCTGACATTTTTTACCCCATTTCATACAATAAAATACATGCTGATTCATATCGCGCTTTCACGACAGCTGCAACTGTAACAACGCGCTGAACAAAACAGTTAACATAAAGTAAAATAATAAACACAACATAAAACACGGACAGTAGTGCAACCCTAAATATACACCCAAACTGTCATTTTTGACCCATTGTTTTTTGAACTAGCTTAGAGTTGCTAATTGCCCTCGGTATGTCTTTTTAAGATTGACAAAGCAGTTAATAAGTTTGTCACCAGTGGGTTTTTGCATTTATGTGAATTGCTCTGTGCAGACAATTGTTGGCCACAAATTGAGCATGGAAAGTGTTCCTTAGCGGTGGGCATTATTGGTTGTCTTCTTTCTTTATTTTTTTTTTTTAAGTTCTGCTCTATAATCGTCGGCTTAAACTGAACAGGCAAACGGTTTATTTCGACTGTGCGTGATTGCATGTTTTTTTAAGCTGTAACTTGCGGTGAAATTGTGACCACAAACTGAGCAGGGAAACGGTTTCTATCCAGTGTGGCTTCTTGTGTGATTCGTTAAGTGTTGCCGTCGATAGAATCGTTGACCACAAACTGAACAGGGAAAAGGTTTCTCTCCAGTGTGGATCATTGTGTGTACTTTTAAATAATTCTTGGTAGAGAACCTTTTACCACAAATTGAACAGGCAAACGGTTTCGTTCCCGTGTGTGACACTGCATGTTCTTTTAAGTTGGCCCGCGTCGAGAAATTGTGACCACAAACTGAGCAGGGAAAACGTTTCTCACCAGTGTGAGTTCTTTTGTGGATTTCTAAAGTTCCCCGGAGAGAGAATCTTTTACCACAAACTGAACAGAGAAAAGGTTTCTCTCCAGTGTGGCTCATTGTGTGTACTTTCAAATAACTATTGGTCGAGAAACTTTTACCACAAACTGAACAGGCAAACGGTTTCTTTCCTGTGTGTGACATTGCATGTGTTTTTAACTTGGCCCGCGTCGAGTAATCACGACCACAAACTGAGCAGGGAAACCGATTCTCTCCAGTGTGTCTTGTTGCATGGATTTTTAAGCTGGAACGAGTAGAGAAACTTTGCCCACATACTGAGCATGTGAAAGGTTTCTCACCAGTGTGAGTTCTTTTGTGGTTTTCTAAGGTTATCCGTTGACAGAATCTTTGACCACAAACTGAACAGAGAAAAGGTTTCTCTCCAGTGTGGATCATTGTGTGCACTTTCAAATAACTATTGGTGGAGAAACTTTTACCACAAACTGAACAGGCAAACGGTTTCTTTCCTGTGTGTGACATTGCATGTGTTTTTAACTTGGCCCGCGTCGAGTAATCACGACCACAAACTGAGCAGGGAAACCGATTCTCTCCAGTGTGTCTTGTTGCATGGATTTTTAAGCTGGAACGAGTAGAGAAACTTTGCCCACATACTGAGCATGTGAAAGGTTTCTCACCAGTGTGAGTTCTTTTGTGGTTTTCTAAGGTTATCCGTTGACAGAATCTTTGACCACAAACTGAACAGAGAAAAGGTTTCTCTCCAGTGTGGATCATTGTGTGCCCTTTCAAATAACTATTGGTAGAGAAACGTTTACCACAAACTGAACAGGAAAACGGTTTCGTTCCCGTGTGTGACACTGCATGTTTTTTTAAGGTTGCCCGCGTTGAGAAATTGTGACCACAAACTGAGCAGGGAAAGGGTTTCGTTCCCTTGTGTGACACTGCATGTTCTTTTAAGTGTGCGCGCGTCGAGAAATTGTGACCACAAACTGAGCAGGGAAACCGTTTCTCTCCAGTGTGTCTTGTTTCATGGCATTTTAAGCTGCAACGAGTAGTGAAACTTTGCTCACAAAATGAACAGGAAAAAGGTTTCTCTCCGGTGTGGATTCTTGTGTGTACTTTTAGGTTGCCCCGTGAAGAGAGACTTTTACCACAAACTGTGCAAGGAAAACGTTTCCCAGTGTGCAAGAGAATATGTTTTTTCAAATGGGACTCGTAGCCAAACGTTTTCCCACATCGAGAACATTTCCAGCCTTTGCTGTCATTGTGACATGTCACATCACCTTCAGACTCATCAGTGTCAGGAGTGTGGGACTTTGTGTCATCGCTATCTGATACGGGAGTGAAGCGGCTGTCTGCGTGTGATCCTCCACGGTGCTCGCCATCACCTTCTGTTTTCATGGGCTGACTTGAGCTGCAGCTTGAAGGTTCTGTCCATCGGTTCACCTCATATTGACCTTCATCTTCATTTTTTAATGGGACAGCAGTCATCGGCAACTCTGTGAGATCCTCCTCCTCCTTAATGTATGGGAAGTTGTCAAGTTGAAAGGCCTTCAGGTCCACCACCTCCTTCTCCTCCTTCACTTCAGGGAACTCTGGCTCCTTCTCCTCCTTTACTTTGGAGAACTCTGGCTCCTTCTCCTCCTTTACTTCAGGGAACACTGGCTCCTTCTCCTCCTTTACTTCAGGGAACTCTGGCTCCTGCTGCGCAGGACTAGCATTTTCTTCACTGATGTCTGCAGGACACAATATACACGTGGTTTGTCTGTTGTGGCTTTAACTTGTGAATTTTTCTTAAGATTTAAGTCATCAGATGGGCCAGAGAAAAACACATTTATATTCAAAATAATAATCATGACAAAGTAAAGCGCTGTAAAATAAATACCCTCCAATTCCAAGACTAAGACGGGTACGGATAAAAACATTTTGACCACGTGGTTTAAAACCACACTTTACACGGCCCGCTAAAGCAGTCAGTGTGCCTGCTGATTTTTTTTTTCTTTTTTTGCGATGTGGCCAGTGACAAAACCAGAGTTTGTCACTCCTGCAGAGGGAGCCCGTATCACAAAAGTTTCAGAACCACTGCTCATTCTAGGCTGGTTATGTATGAATTCATCTCCATGTGAAATACACAGCAAACATTCAAGCATTTTAAATTGGAAATAAAAAAAAATCGTGAGCTGTGCACCACCAAAATAAAACGATTCTAATTAGTCAGTATTGCCCAAACAGGAGACAAACCTGCTTTGTTCACCGCTTGAGGGTGCTTGCAAACAGCATCCAGCAGTTGACGTTGTTGCTCCTTCTCTTCTTGCTCTCCATAAAGCTCCTCTTCGTACTTCTCGGTCTTTACCGTGCGCATTTTCACACGAATACTGACGGCACTTTAAATTCGCACTTGACGTCTGCCGACCTAATTTGTCGAGAACAACCTCGTCTCCTTTGTTAGCGGCTAGCGAGCTAAGCTAAACTAAGATAAGTTACGCAAGGCTGAGAAACTTCGACGAGCATCGAGAGTTGACTTTCATCGGTCACAAAGGTGTAATAATGATGTGTGATGTCAAAATATTGACTGGTTTGAGCACGTTCAAGACGTACGATTTAGCAAAGCGGCTGTAGTTGAGTAGAAGAAAAAAAAAGAACGGAAAATGTAGATTTGCAACGAGGTATCTACGGCAACTCCAATTGGACATAATTAGTTGAATCAACACACGCGGCGACATATTTAAAGTAGAATAAGTTCGAAACTATTCTTTAAACTTTAGAAAATACAAAAGGGAAGTCGCAACCCATACAAAAAAAAACTAATTTTAATTGGACAGCATTGGAGAAGAATAATCAAATCTCAGAAAATAACAGCTTGACATCCCTGAAATAGCTAGAAGTATGCATTTGGGGGTCTTGTACATGATTGTGGTGAACGTGATTTGCAGTGACAGGACGCTATATATGACATTTTAATTATAGTATTTAGTAAAGTCGCAGGCGCAACGAATCAAAAACCAATATTTGGTTCACTATTTTGCTGTGATTTCCATCCATGAGTTGAGAGAGATAATGGTGCGGAAATTATCCAGTTTTGATGTGTCAGAAACTTATAACCCATTGTTCATCAACTCCGTTGACATCAAGGAGCAGACAGAGCAAAATTAAATGCCCTTTCGCTGGATGGTATAAAGTTGAAAGATAAACGTTTCGTGACACTCTTATTCTGTAGCACTCCACCGGATGTAGAGAGATGAAGGTGATACGGAGCGTATGCGGTTTAAGGAAACTTTGAGATTTATTTGTATTCGCCAAATGAATATAAAAATAAACGTGCTGTTGTGACATCTGTTTGATAAGATTTTGATTGGTAGGTATGTATGTGGCATACAAAACAAAACAACTCATTTTTTGCGTCACTCTTATTTTGGAACACTCCGATGGACACAGAGTTCGAAGGGACGGTCCACGCTGTGCGTGTACTTTAAGGATTAAAATATGTGTCGATAAAAGTTATCCAGGTCGATATAAGCAAAATAAGAGTCTAAAAATTGTTTCACCAATGTCCTTCGTTTGTGTTAATTCGAATGCTCGGGACACGAAGTTTGTCCAAGTTGTTTTGCCGTAGATTGCACCTTGCAGCGCTACTCTTTGCAGGCTATGTTATTTTCTTTTTTTACGTAGCCACGTGAGCTTCATTAAATAATTCTTTCGGAATGTACTGAACCCTCAACACTGGGCGTCCTAAACTACTTTATTGCATCATTGTTACATCTTCCTGTGTGGTTAAAGTCGTCCTTTTGCTCTTTGAAGCGTCTCGGCCTTGCTTAGCTTGCTAGCCGCTAACAAGGAAGACGCGTTTGTTCCGGACACATCGGCTCAGCGCAGTTCAAGTGTGAAATAAAAGTGCCGTGATTTACGTGTGAAAATGTGCGATAGAAAGGCAGTCAAGTACGGAGAGGAGCTTTGTGGTACACGAGAGCAGAACGGGCGACATCGTCAACCGCTGGACGGTGTTAGCAAGAAGCCTGGAGTTGTGTTGAACAAAGCAGGTTCGTCACCCGTCTAGTCAATACTTCTTAGCCATATTTTCTGTATTTATTTTTAAGGCAATCTTCGTGTGTGATGTCACGGTCAATATAACATAATGGACATCCCAACATGTGTGCTGTGCATCTGATGATGTCACCCTGATTAGATTTCAGATTCAGAAAAGTTGGTGATTCTGTCAGACGACTGTTTCTTCATTTTGTTTTTCCATCCCTGATATACAATTTACAAGCAAATTTGCAGCTCCACAATGTGTTTAGCCACGTTAGCTGGCCACCCATAGTTTGTAAGCAGTTGGGATGGCCCGAAGTATAACACACACAAAGCATCCCTTTCCCATCAAATTCATTAATAAAATGCATACTCGCTAACATCTGAAGCGTCCTTGTGACCCGACACAGTGGCCTACTGGCCAACATTTCTGTGACACCGGATGTATTATTTATTTATTGTTAATCTGGGGGGAAAAAATTACGGGTGTGACAAGTTAACATTATCAAAGTTACAAGAGACTGACTTTACCAAACTATGTCTGTCTTGTGTCCCGAAGACATCAGTGAACAATATCTTGGTCCTGAGTGGCAGGAGCCAGAGTTCCCCGTTGTGAAAAAGGAGGAGTTAGAGCTCCCTCATGTCCAAGAGGAGGAGCAGCCAGAGTGCCCCAAAATAAAAAAAGAGGAGCAGATGCCAGTGTCAATGAAGGAGGAGGGAGATTTCACAGAGTTTCCAGTGACTGGTGTCCATTTGAAGACTGAAGATGAAGGTCAGTCTGAAGAGAACAAAGGGGCAAAGCCACCAAGCAGCAACTCCAGTCTACACGTGACAACAGAAACTGATGCCGAGCACTGTGGAGGTTCACAAGCAGACAGCCGGACTGGCAACAAACCTTTTGATTGCTCAGTTTGTGGTAAAAAAATATCTCAGAATGTAAGCTTATACACAAGAACTCAGATTGGTGCGATACCTTTTGCCTGCTCGAATTGTGGAGAAAGACTTTCTTTCAAGGGAACCTTGAAAAACCACTTAAGAACCCACGCTGTTGAGAAACCTTTTGCCTGTTCAGTTTGTTCTCAAAGATTTTCCATAAAGTGTAACTTGATTCAACACACAAGAACCCACACTGGTGAGAAACCTTTTGGATGTTCAGTTTGTGGTCGAAGATTTTGTCAAAAGGGAACCTTAACCATACACACAAGAACCCACACTGGTGAGAGACCCTTTGCCTGTTCAATTTGTGGTCAGAGATTTTCTCTAAAAGGTAACTTGATACCACACAGAAGAACCCACACCGGTGAGAAACTTTTCTCATGCTCGGTTTGTGGTAAAAGGTTTTCTTGGAAGCAAAGCTTAACTTTCCACACTAGAACCCACACTGGTGAGAAACCTTTTGTGTGTTCAGTTTGTGGTCGAAGATTTTCTCGAAAGGGAATTTTGAGACAACACACAAGAACCCACACTGGTGAGAAACCTTTTGTCTGCTCAGTTTGTGGCCATAGTTTCTCTTGTAAGGGACACTTATTAAGACACACAAGAACCCACACTGGTGAGAAACCTTTTGTGTGTTCGGTTTGTGGTCAAAGATTTTCTTTAAAGGGTAACTTGATGCAACACACAAGAACCCACACCGGTGAGAAACCTTTTGAATGTTCCGTTTGTGGTCAAAGCTTTTCACTAAAGAAAAACTTGAGACGACACACAAGAACTCACACTGGTGAAAAGCCCTTTACCTGCTCAGTTTGTGGTGAAAAATTCACAAATAAGGATAAAACCAAGAGGCACAAGTGTGCTGGTGAGAATAGTGGTGATCTGTGAAGCTTTCGCTGATCTCATATTAGCATTTACGTTTAAAAGAGTGTACAGAACACACATCATTCTGGTGCGCATGAGCTCTGTTGGGCGGCTACCACCGAATGAAACATCTGTGTACTTTTAGTGGATGTTGAATGTTTCATCAACCCGCAAAGGGGCTACAGATCTAAAATTAGCTGCCAGGTATGTGGCACGTTTGCATGTAAATGCCTATTAATATGTACCATTGTATGTTAAATAAAATCATTTCTTAAAAAATTAAATGTCCATCTTTAATATTGAAGGTAATGAGAATGGGTGATTTGTAATCAATATGATTGTTCCTAATCTATATTGCAAGTACTTTGAAATAACTCCTTTTTGAGTAATGAATATCAATTAAGAGATACAGAATCCAATATGCACATAATGTAAAAAAATATCACCGACAGAGGGCGCCATAGATGGCGCAAGCAAAAGCCGCGGGGGAAAAAAAAAATCATGAAATGCATAACGCTCTCATCGAACGTGGAAAGTCTAGCGCATTTTAAACAAGGTACAGATTGAAAGTGTGGCCACCAAAAGTCCCCTTACATTACCCAAATGTTATGCTGTAAATTATTTTGAGATGAAATGGACAGAACAAAAAACCGAATCAACTGTATTCTTCCTGAGCCAACAGCACGGATTTTTGAGAATGAGTGCGACAAGCAACCAAATTCATAATGAAATGGAATGTACACTTATTAGAAGTCCTTGAGTGGCCCTTAAAAGGACCGTTTTTGTCGTACGATGGAAGGCAGACAGATGAGTTTAACCGCCAAAGCCGTAGAGAGTACGTCCCTGTCTCTTCAGAGCATACACCACGTCCATGGCGGTGACCGTCTTCCTCTTAGCGTGCTCGGTGTAGGTGACAGCATCGCGGATGACGTTCTCCAAGAAGACCTTCAGCACGCCACGTGTCTCCTCGTAGATCAGGCCCGAAATTCGCTTGACTCCTCCGCGACGAGCAAGGCGACGGATAGCGGGTTTTGTAATACCTTGGATGTTATCACGGAGAACTTTGCGATGACGCTTGGCTCCTCCTTTCCCCAGTCCTTTTCCTCCCTTTCCACGACCTGACATCTTGTACTTTGGTGACTGTCGATCTGGACTTGAGCGATTACCGCGACTCTTTCACAGAGGGCGTTCTTATTTCAAAACGACGGACCTGAAAGAGGACAGCCCGGGCATTTTGCCAGGAGTGACGTCACTATGGGCAGGCCCTTCCACATTCAACTCGAGTTTAGTAAGCGACAGTATAACACGAATATTTATTTTTTGAACGCAGATTGTCAATTGATCTTTGACTTCATTGGAAAATGTTCCCGTGACATTTACTTTTCTGTTTTCAAGATGAATGTAAGGCTTTAACCGCAAACAAAGTTGGTCCTTTTTGAACATAGATGAGGAGAAGCGGTTCGGAAAAAGAAGGAATCACACGAAATGCGCCAGTGTAAATACACGTGGTATAATTACATTGAACAAACTTGTTATGTAGTGTATTGTTAGACACACGAAAACGTGAAACAAAGACTTAATTTAGATGAAGACAGTCACCGTTAATGATTTTCCCTCAAACCAAATTCTGCTGGCTTTGACGGATCTGTATTAGATTCACTACAATGACAGTGCACTTTGAAACTACAGTATGTACTTGTTTGAGGGGTCATTTATTACTTATGAGCTTTGCGAACATCCTAAAATTAAAAACAATTGCTATGGGAACGATGTACGAGTTGAGTAGTCAGCCTTTTTTTTGAGAATCAAATTTCTCACTTTTTCTCGTGTAGTTCATACAAGCATAGCGTGTCCATATGGACGTTCGTTTTGAATAGCATCCGTTAATTTGTTAGTCCTAGTTTAAGCCGCTTGGTTGTTTTTGTGTACCGTTATTGCGAATATTTCTGCTTATAATCTGATCAACTCATGTGGAATTATACTCTTCAAGAAACAAGTGGTTGGCTCTTAAAAGAGCCGTTTGGGGAGTTAAGATAACGAAAATTTATTTGGCTTTGCCAGCCTTCTCGGTCTTCTTGGGAAGAAGCACAGCCTGGATGTTGGGCAACACGCCACCCTGTGCAATAGTGACACCGCCGAGAAGTTTGTTGAGCTCCTCGTCATTCCGGACAGCCAGCTGCAGGTGGCGGGGAATGATCCTGGTCTTCTTGTTGTCGCGGGCAGCGTTGCCGGCCAACTCCAAGATTTCAGCAGTCAAGTATTCAAGCACAGCCGCCAAGTAAACCGGTGCGCCAGCACCTACGCGCTGGGCATAGTTGCCTCTGCGTAGAAGTCTGTGGACTCTGCCCACTGGAAACTGGAGTCCTGCACGAGAGGACCTAGTCTTGGCCTTTGCTCTGGCCTTGCCGCCGGTTTTGCCACGTCCAGACATATCTGTAGGTCGAGGAGATGAATGGTTGAGATGTCCTCAATGCTCTGTCGTAGGGGTACTTATACATACAGCTGCCGCTCACTCATTGGCCAACCTGCTGCGGGGAAACGGTTGCCCAATCAGCAAAGAGTTACATTTGCTGTCGCTCTTCTTTGTGTAGGCTTCTTCGTTTTAGCCTGTGTACAAGGTGAATCGTTGACATAAGTACATGATCAGCTCTAAAATAGAAATAATGCAATTTTTACCTTCTAAAATTATTAGTCCGACAGCCACTCCTTCGCTCCTGCTGTCTTGTATATTATAATCGTCATTCCATTAAATCGGTGCTATTTGTAATGACCTCAGAATAAATTGTAATGCGCTCAAAATAAACTTGAATTTATTTTTGCAACCTGATTACCTTAACATAGACATATTGAATCCCTCAAAATGTGTATTGGTCCATCTCCTGATAAAGTAATATTGCCCGAAAATCAATTGAAACGAAATATATTGGTGTGAACATTAATTATGAAACAGTTATGTATGTGTATACATAATAGTATACCGCCAAACTTTGTGTAAAAATGTGGAGGACCAAGTGTATCTTGGTGAAAAGACGTTAGCCATTTGAAAGGACAAAAATAACTTCTACCTTTGATATAAATTGGATTTATGCGACTCTGGACTGTGATGTAGCCTGTGTGACTTTAATGATTTGCCTGCCATGGAATATACTGTATTTTGCTTCGTGCTTTATGTTGTGGACTTACAACAAAGTGATTTTTCTCGTCAAAATTCCTGAAGCAAGTCAAAAATGATTGTGTTGTGCGAGCTAAACATGGAAGCAAACAGAAGCACTAAGTCATAAAGCTACCGATGAAAGCCGAATATCTCATCAGTGGTGTAAACATTGACACTGGGCAATATGGAGGAATGCTTCATTTAGGTGTCATTGTGGTGGCTCTTAAAAGAGCCGTTGTGGTGGTCAGGAGAAAGCCTAAGCCCTCTCGCCTCGGATCCTACGGGCCAGCTGAATGTCTTTGGGCATGATAGTGACCCGCTTAGCATGGATAGCGCAGAGATTAGTGTCCTCAAACAGACCCACCAGGTAGGCCTCGCTAGACTCTTGCAGAGCCATGACCGCCGAACTCTGGAAGCGCAGGTCGGTCTTGAAGTCCTGAGCAATCTCCCTAACCAGGCGCTGGAATGGCAGCTTACGAATCAGAAGCTCAGTCGACTTCTGGTAGCGGCGGATCTCGCGGAGAGCCACAGTCCCAGGTCGATAGCGATGAGGCTTCTTGACGCCACCGGTGGCCGGCGCGCTTTTTCGGGCTGCCTTTGTGGCCAGCTGCTTCCTGGGGGCTTTGCCGCCGGTGGATTTGCGAGCAGTCTGTTTGGTTCTTGCCATGTTCTTCACGTGTTGCTACAAGGAAAGGATATCCAGAAGACTGCGAGCTGCGGATTTTATGCAGGCGAGAGAGCGCTGATTGGTGCGTTTGAGAACAGCCCGCGCGAAATCTGCTTGGCCACTGAACGACGTCAACTTGAATCAAACCAATCAGCATCGAGTACAGCCGACCAATGGCTTTCTATACAGTGAAAAAAGAAAACGATTTTGCGTTTTGAAAGACTTTTTTCGAATCAAACATAATTACATAGAAGACATGCGCCCTCATTTATGAATTGACTTGACATTTCGCCAACAGTAAATGAACATTTTACTCAATGTAGTTTGCTACGATGAAGTGCGAAGCGATATTTCATGTTTGTGTATCAATCAACACAGCCATTATTTTGAGGTTGACCGTATTTTGTGTTCAGAAAAGGTGTTGCTTGAAAACCGAATTCATAAACGTGTCATATTTAGTACGATTAAAGTTATTATCGGGGTGATTTTGTCATATTAAAAAAATGAAACTGATTTCTCAACAAAGGTCTCAAAAATACACTCAATTTTATTTACAGAGCACTTTTAAAACAACCACAGGCTGCAAACAAAGTGCTAATCATAAAAGTAAAAAATAGACATCACAGTTAAGACAAGAAACGATTAACCCAAACAGTGAACACAATAAATCACTAAAACAATGCAGAATCTCATGCGAAGACAACCAAACTTTCATATTCATATTATACTTCCAATTATTTTGATGTGAGAGGAAGTAATTTCTAACATGTGTAATAAGTGTAGTAATTAACTTGTGTACATATAAACACCTGTTACACGTCTAAAAAAAATAACTTTACACACGTTTTGAACAAAGTCACCTCATGTAACATGGAATATACCTCCAAAATTTTTTCATTTAAAGTTGGTAAATGTTCAAACATTTATATATGAATCGGACGTCAATGAATTGGAATGCTCTTTATGAGAGGTGGTGGCTCTTAAAAGAGCCTTTTTATGTGACGCTGTGCTGAAGCACTTCACTTCTTCTTGGCTGCAGCTTTCTTTGCCGTTTTGGGCTTGGAAGCCTTCTTGGCGGTGGCCTTCTTGGCGGCGACCGGCTTCTTAGCCGCGGGGGCGGCTTTTTTGGGGGTCCCCACCTTCTTGGTGCTTTTGACCGGCTTCTTAGTTTTCTTTGACGACACGGACTTCTTGGAAGCTTTCTTGACGGTGGCCTTGGCCGCGGTAGTTTTGGGCTTCTTGCTCCCTGCGGGCTTCTTAGCAGCAGCAGCAGCAGCTTTCTTAGGTTTGGCGGAAGTCTGCTTCGCCTTAGCGGGTGCTTTCGCTTTCGGAGTCTTGGCATCAGGCTTCTTGTTCATCTTAAAGGAGCCGGAGGCGCCGGTGCCCTTGGTCTGGACAAGGACCCCCTTAGCCACCATGCTTTTGATGAGAGTCTTGAGGCGAGCTTTGTTCTTCTCTACGTCGTAGCCTTTGCTAGCCAGGTATTTCTTGAGAGCGGCCAGTGAGACGCCATTGCGCTCTTTGGACGCGGCCACAGCTTCGAGGATGAGTTCAGAGGCGCTGGGTCCCGGCGGTTTGGGCTTGGACGCCGCCTTCTTCTTGGTGCTGCTTTTCGCCGGGGCGGCGGGAGCTGGAGCGACTTCTGCCATTTTCTAGGTTGCTTGCTGTCGAACACAAAAATGCTGACTTTGAGTCAGCTCGCTTGAGATACAGTACTTAACCGTCACATGAGAACCGGAGAGAGTCAAGCCATGAGAACCGTGGAGAGTCAACCAGCTCGTCTGCGGTTATAGTGCGTTGACTTGTGTTTTCTGCACGCGCTTGAAACGCTAAAAAAATCACACAAAAAATATTATTGACACTCAAATTGATTTGAGGTGGTAGAAAACATGTACTGCTCCAGATTGAAGTGATTAACAGCTCGCTGGCTTGCTCTGGTTTCTCTGCAGAGGCTCCAAACGGTACCTCTTTGTTGGCGCGAGCGACGAGGCTGGATGATTTTCCTCACTTATTCATCTTCTAAAAGATTGAAAATCGCTCACAGAGCATTACACATTGTATTACGGATGACAGAACAAGTTTTTCCAGGCATCCAAAGGGCAAATTGACATATGTTGATGATCATTACGGAGCAAGTCAACGTTTTTGTCATGGCAGCAAACACACTGAACTGTTTAATGTACTGCTTCCTGCGAGCGCCTCAATAACTGTTAATATTTTGCATGAAAGCAACAATTCAAGTTTTCATCGTACTCTTATTCTGTTCTATTCAATCATATTTAAGTGCAAACGAAAAAAAAACATGCATATTGCTAGAATGGATTCAAGTAGAACTGGAGCAAGGAAGCCACAATGGTTTCTGAATGAATAGTGCAGTAAGTGCATATATGTATGTACGTTTTGTAAATAAATAGGTTTTATGTTTGTGGAAGTGATCATTTCATAACTATGTCATCCCAGGTGTCTCAATTATCATGAATTGTATAAAATACCATTTGTTTCCCTCAGTTATTTTGCTGCATACGTCCGACTCTACTACCATATATTATAAAGATAAGAAACCCTTTATTTGTCTCACAATGGAGAAATTCCCAATTTACAGCAGCACAATTACGAAAGGAATAAAGTGGAAGACAGAGTATATAAATAATAATTTACTGTTATTGTACAGGTCATTTGAATTGCTGTTCAAGTGAAGATTGATATCGTTTGAGACGTTGTTGCTAGACACTAATTGCTGTTATTTGCTGATCATATTTAAATACACATATTTTACACGTGGGGAAAAAAAACATGTTGATACAACTCGTCTTAATGCGAGAAACCCCCTTAATGGTTAGAACAGAAATAAGTTCAACTGGGATAAGTAAAGATATATGAAAACATGAGTTCAAATGAAAGTGAAACATGCCCCCGTGGTCAATTTTCAATATTTGCCCATGCTTGATTCATTTGGGTTTTTCCACAATTCAGCAAAGAGCAATGTTCATCTTCTATACGTCTTAAATGTATTATGCCTTTGGTCAGTTTCAAACTGTTTTAGTGAGGTTTTTTTCTGTCCTTCCCAGTTAAAAAAACGTTTTAAACATTGATTATGCTGCTTGTGTGAAATTGTGAGGAACCATAGGTGCAATGTGCCTTCATTAAAAAGACAATTATAAACAGTGACACTGGTTAGACAGATTCCGTACCATTTCAAAAGGCAGAAATTGATTAAAGAACACTTCCTCGGAGCACCCCTGACTTATAAAACTCTGGACTCGTCCCCTGCGGGACATTCTATGAATCATTTTGAGTTGTTTGGAGTTTCGTGTAAATTTGCAAACATCGCTTGCACTTTGTACGTGTATTTACACACACACACACAAAATGACAGCTAATCTACAATACATAAATTATGCTATTTTTAGAGTACTGTAGTCTCTTCTCTACATGTAAAATTTAACACTTGGGTAATTCGGGTGCAGAAAAGTAATTGAGTGCAAGTAAAATCATTTGGCCAGGCATGGATATACTTTTAATTTAAGGTAAAAACCTGGTGTGATAAAAGCTCATCTTCCATCTTTTATACACACACACAAATACGAAGCAAAACTCTTTGATGAAAGGTGGGTGGCTCTTAAAAGAGCCTTTTGGTTGGGGTGTTGACGAGACAGTTCACTTGGAGCTGGTATACTTGGTAACAGCCTTGGTCCCCTCAGACACGGCGTGCTTGGCCAGCTCACCAGGAAGCAGAAGACGCACGGCGGTCTGGATCTCTCTGGACGTGATGGTTGAGCGTTTGTTGTAGTGAGCCAGGCGGGAAGCCTCGGAAGCGATTCGCTCGAAGATGTCGTTGACGAACGAATTCATGATACTCATAGCCTTGGAGGAGATCCCGGTGTCGGGATGGACCTGCTTGAGTACCTTGTACACGTAGATGGCGTAACTCTCCTTCCTGCCCTTCTTTCGCCTCCTGCCGGGTTTACCAGGAGCCTTGGTGACGGCTTTCTTGGAGCCTTTCTTCGGCGCAGACTTGGCAGGTTCAGGCATGTTGACCAAGACGATCAGACAAAGTCCAGAATAACAGGGGTGGGGGAAAGAGTCAGAGTTCTTATAGAGACGTATATGCAAATTACACTCTGCCACCGCCACTTTTTGATTGGCTGAAAGAATCTCGGACCTTACTGGGAGCCTTCAAGCAAACCAGTAAAGGCGATTCATGATCACGTGGTCAAGTCCTTTGTTTAATTTTTCCAGCCTACGTTTTGAAAACGACGTAGTTTTATTCCAAAAGACACTTGTTCACGGGAAGTCCTTAATATGGCAAACCAAAAATGTAAGCACGGCTCCTTAGCCCATACATCTAACTGCTGCATACAGTCCATTCCACAGTTCCACGTGAGGAAAAAAAAGAACAAAATCGGCGGGACAAACGGAAATAAAACTAATTAAAATATATCGCTAGTTAGAAAAATGTATATGTTAAAAATAGCGAAATTAGACTTAGACCTGTTCGCATCAGATGCACTGATTATATTTTTGACTAAACTTTACAATTGAATAAACAGTTTTGCAAGTCTTGACCATCCTACGGAGATATTATCGGATTTGATAAACAAAATGTCACTTGGAAATTGTGCTGCTGCACGTTTGATATTTGTGTATAGCATTCAAACAGACAACTGCAATTTGATGCAATGGACGAGCATTTATTTTGTAAATCGCAGGAAAACCCAATATATCATTTTGAGTTTTCACAATTCCTGCAGATTATATTTAGTGGACAAAATTAAAATTGTAATGAAGGTAACGAATGCACATGGAATGTTTTCCCTTTTTCGAACGTGTATGTGGTCCTTAAAAGGACCGTTTGGTTTTGCCGATGGACCGGTACAAGACTTTAACCGCCGAATCCGTAGAGGGTACGTCCTTGTCTCTTCAGAGCGTACACCACATCCATGGCAGTCACAGTCTTCCTCTTGGCATGCTCGGTGTACGTGACAGCGTCTCGGATGACGTTCTCTAGGAAGACCTTAAGCACGCCTCGGGTCTCCTCGTAGATGAGGCCAGAGATGCGCTTGACTCCGCCGCGACGAGCCAGGCGACGGATGGCGGGCTTGGTGATACCCTGGATATTGTCGCGGAGAACTTTGCGATGACGCTTGGCGCCTCCTTTCCCCAGCCCCTTTCCTCCTTTTCCGCGACCAGACATTTTACACTACTGACGGAGAGCCTTAGTAATGGTAGCGTAACGCCAGCACCTTGTATTCATTGAGAAACTGAGGACGTGTTGGAAGACAGGGGTGGTCCTTTTCTTCCGGTTCTCTCCAAGTTGTCGTGGTTGGGCCTTTATCGCCACCTACTGGAAAACACATGCATAACTTCCCCAATGATGCGCGCGCAGCCAGATTGAACGTATCCCTACGTCACATGAAACTGGTCTATGTGGAGCGCCAATTGAGGAGTGGGGGTGGAGCCCTGGCTGCCAAGCGCAGATCTTGAAGAGGCTAATGCTCAACTTTTGAGTGCGCCCACACACTCAAATTGCGCGCAAACGACTCCAAATGACTCCATAACGCGCTTATAACATGGTTCTGGGCAAACTTGTTTTTTTTTTTTTTTTGTTACAATTACGCTGAGAAAAAATACACACACACACCATGAAAATCCCTTTCATTCCTTTGGGGAGGACGTTTTTGGACCCTTGGTCCGGCTCTGAGTCACCCACGGTGACGCTGGGGGTATGTGCGAATCGGTCTCATCTTAGTGCGTCCAAGGTTGTTTTCCATCGCATTTTGCCGAAATGTGGGCGGATTTTTTTTTACCCCGAAGCGCCTTCTAGCGACTGACCCAAATATAACCTCAACCATCCAGAGAGTGCGTCCTCTTCTGGGTACATTTGGTACTGCAACCACCATTCATTTATGTCTGGAGGATTTCTTTTGATCTCAACTTTTGAACCTAACGACCTCGACATCATAACCAAAGTCGACTCTACAATTTTCAAGGCCCCTGACCATGCTGGGCTTGCTTCCGTGGCTCTTCGACCCACTGTTCACCCAGAATGGACATAAAAATGACAGTTACAACACAGAGTCAAACGTCAACAATCCACCCACATTAAATCCAACCCCATTCTGCTTGGTTTTCGAGCTTTTTCTGAACTTAGTAAACACAATAAAAAAAAAACAATGACAACCGACCCCCACGCTGAGGTAAAATCAAAAGAATTCAATATATAGTATGGTAATATGTGATATGTTTCTCTTAACAAAACCTATTAAAAAAATCCCCCCCCCCCCAAAAAAAGAATATCCGATATGACAGGGGCATAAAGATAAGCCACAAGATAGCGACGGAACATTGCACTCTTCTCCAGTGGAATGGAGCACACAGTATGTAGCGTGTGACATAATGTACAGGCCAGCGTCACTGACTGTCTGGGCTTCTGAAGTCCAGCAGACTCCAGCCATCCCTCAGCAGGTGGACTGATTGATCAAAGCCAGAACTGGTCAACCACGCATGTTATTATTAAAGACTTTTCTGCGTTGTGGCTACACTGCAACGACTTTTGAACTCTCATATGATGGAGACATCTGCTAATCATCTCATAGGACTCCATCATCCATGCCCCGCAGGCTGTTGCAAAAATATTAGCATATACCAGCATTGACAGGAAGTCAGACAGATGCACACGCTCAGGAAATTATGTAAAAGATGGCTCCATATCGCAGATTTTTAGGGGTTTCTACAGTATACAGGAAAGTGTGAATAGAGTTGCCTGTCTTCAGTATAATTCCACATTCTGCCGAAACATGCTGAGCAGCACTGAGCTCTCCTGGAAAAGATGACGTCTAATTCATGGTGAGAAGAAGAAGCAGAGAAGGTCCCCAATGAACCACCATTAAGCCATTAGTAATAGTAGTAAATGCCATGTCTGTGTGTGTGTTGTTGCTCCATGTGTGCTAAAGTAGTAGCTGTTTGAAGGTTTATCATGACTATGCTAGATTCCATTAGCCCATCAATGGTGTTTTGCATGTTGTGTTAGCATGAAGCTAGCAGACTTTTGTCAGACAAAATCATATGGTTAGGTTGAACGGTGCTTTTTAACAGCCGCACATTGTGTGTGTGTGTGTGTGTGTGTGTGTGTGTGTGTGTGTGTGTGTTTTGTTATCGTTGTTGTTTTTTTCCCCAATTTTGCTGTTGTTCGACAGTGGCAGTTTTGAACAACAAAAATGTACAATATCTTCATCTCAACAATTAGAAGAGTTGAAAACTTAAAAGTTACATTTCCATAATATACCCCACCAAGTAAAGTTTGATTCTGAAACAAATTCATCCACTTACTGGAAATGATCCATTTTTGAAATAAATATGCACAACCATTGTTACTCTGAGTGTCACGTGACCAGGTGGTCTACCAGAAAGTGGATTTGGACCGCAAACTGTTGACAATTACAAGAGACAGTAAGTGCCTGTGTGTGTGTTTAGAGACTGGGGCTTGCCGTGTAATAACTGTGATTACAAAAAGCTCGTCCCTTGATGAAACCAGCAACTTGATGTGACAATACAGAATGCGTCTGTCCAACCCCAGCGGACGGACGCACTTGCGGTAGATATCCAACGGGGGCGCTGTGGGGGTGGATTTACGGTGCTGTCCTTTGGCAGGAGCGATCCTGCAATTTGGTCTTCATCAAGGGATCTCTGCGGACGCCGAAAATTATATCCCAATGGCACGATCGCTACTCTATACGGTTTGATAGCATTTTTAAACTCAAGTTAAAACGTCAGCATTTTTACTTTCCAAACCCAAACAGCCCGTTGAAGATGTTTATTCTTTTCAAATAGAAAGAACTTTGACTCACATTCGTTGTTAAAGAGGATGACTGTGAAACTACACATACATACAAATCAAAAGCAGATATCAGTGGCGGTCAGTAGATTTGACCTTGATGTGCGGCCTGCGTGACATATTCCACTTCATATATATATATACACTGTATGGATGACATAATTTTTTTATGGGGGGGAAAAAGCTTTTTAGTATTCACGTGAGCTGCAGCTGTTTGATGTGGTGGTCAAGGGAGGTTCACTGTGTCCTTACTTGTCTTTCGTGTCTTATGTGGTTCTTTTTATGAAGACAAAGTCCGTGCTGCATTCAAGGACTGTTACTATTCTAAAGTGGCAGCCCAAAAAAAACGTTTGCCTCTTTTAATTACGTCTTTCAAGTCAATGTACTCTGTGTTTGTTCTAAATGGAAAAGCATCAAGGCAGCCAGGTGGACTAGTGGTTCGGTTCTTTTGGAGATTTGTGCGTGCGTGGCTTTTGTCCGACTTCCTCTCCCAGTTCCAAAAACAAGCATGTTAGTAGCTACCATGAAGACTAGGTATGAATGTTAATGTGAACGCTTGTGCATCTCTGCGTGTCCTGCGACCGCTCCAGGGTTAATTTACTTTTCTTTTCACAAGTGTGTGCGTGTCCACAACGCTGCTCTCCGACCTCCAAAAGCTGTTATATAAGTGTCAGTGGAGGTATGCATGATCCGCCACTTTTGTAGCTGGCATAGTTGCACACACTCATGCGGAGTTTGAAGAGCGACGCATTGTCAGAGCAAATTCATTTTTCTATTTTCAAATGTGCACCCAAATTAGCACCTTGGAGCAAATAGCTCAAAGTATGATGCAGCTCAACTCACTTCTGCACCACGTATGTATTATTATGGTTCCAATTATAATTCATCTTAATATAATGTATTACGATTGAATGAAAATGGGAACTGCTGTACTTTTCTATACTATCATTACTATTATAATAACAATAATTATTTGATTTTTCTATGATAAGGGCTTGTGTTTGAATAAATACCTTCATGACAACAGCAATCCTTAGATCATTATAAGAATCATAATGAAGACTAGATCTTCTTTTTTCCCTCTTCTATTCTATTTTTAGCAACATAAAGATCAACTTCCTGTTCATATTGACACAAGTAATGATCACATGGCACACTTATTTTATTTTAGCTGGGAAAAGCAAAAAGTCACAATAAAAACAACTTGACTTTCACCAGATGAGGAATATATTACTTAATGTCAGCAAAATGATTGGCCAATTGAACAAGAAAAATTGACTTGGCGCGATTTCTTAAAATGAGTAACCTTAGCTAGCCAAAAAAAAAAAAAAAAAAGTAACGGTAATTGGTTCAACATCAACTTTTGCAGCGTGTCTCGATGATCCCAAAGCTGCTCTGCTCCATATGTTGACCGAACGAAACAGAGAGCATTTGAACCGTCTCGGCGGCCGTATTTTCTTTTCATCATCGCGCGCCCGAGGACTTAATAGCGTCGATCAGTGATGGCGTGGCGGTAGCAGGGGCACAGAAGCTGCCTTTCGCCACGTAAACAGATGCGTGAGTCAACAGCGTGACTTTTGCCAGAGGAAGGAGTTAAAAGGCCACACTTTCATGTGGCGCCTAAATGAAGCCTTTTGATGGCGACGCCAGTCAAACGGGCCTCAGTGAGTCTCCTTCATGGGGCCAAATCCCGGGACCCCGACACAGGTCCACTGTTCTCACTTTCAAAAGTGTGTGTGTCTCTTTCCGACCTGTTTGACTTTGTGCAGGAAGTTCAGTTAGCACTTACAGGTAGGTGTGACTCCTACGATATTAATTAGCTTTTGTATAAAAGGCCTCATTTAAAGCGGAGCACGCATCCGACATCCAGGACTGGACTCTGCTATCTTCTATATTGAACTCTTACCACAGGTTGGAAAACTGCCTAATCCTGGAAGATTAAAATACAGACAGAAAATTTCAACTATTTGACAATGAACATTTTATTGAGCCACCAAGGACAAGACCGGACTGTCATTTTTGGACTAATTCACTGCCTTCACAGTTCTCAGCAGTTTTAGAGCAATTTGACTGATCCTTCACGATCCATCAGAATATTGTGTTCAGTGACAATATGAGCATCGAACCTATCAAAATCTTTTCTTTCAACAGAAAAAAAATGGCTTCCACCTTTCTCTGTCCTTTAGTAATCATCAGTAGTAGAACATTGGTTGGTTTTCACTTAAAACAGAGGAGCCTGACCAAAAAGCAAATGCACTTCAAACAAACTGGCAATGATGTGCCTACACTGTCCATTCATAAATAACGGAAAGCATGTAATTTCATAAAACACCTCATCTCTGAAATGCGCAGAGAGCCTCATTTTAGGGGCTCGCAAACTCCGCCCATATTCGGACTTCCTGAATGGAGCGGTCAGCGGGTCGCCCGCACGGTCGCCTCAGGGGAGAGAGTAAGTGTCCGTGTGTTAAAGTATGCTTCAAATTAAAGTAGAACTGAGTGTGCAACCTCAGTTGCGCTCCTCAAACTGTAATGGAAGTAAGCATGGTGCGGTGTCCTGTTTTTAGATTAAAACTGCGATGAAAATTAAGGAATGAATGTAGAAATCTAATGAGTGTGCGTGGTGAGCGACACGGTCACCGTCATCGTGTGCGCGGAAAGTGAGAAGAGCGCATTATTGCTCACGCGCGCAGATAAAAGGGAACATTGTCTCTGTTTTTGTCTACTTTTTGGACTACATTGCGGTGGCCGTGACGCACTCTTCTTCTCTGAGGCACATTACAGCTTCTGAGTTGGAGGCGCTAGTGAGCGATGTCTGCCGTCCTGTGGTTGTCACCGGTATTACATCTTTCAATGGCTAAGCAACCCAATTTTTTTACGTGAGATTTGTAATTAATCGAGCACGTGACTAGTTCAGTCTGAGCATCTCTAATGCCCCTTGCGAGTGTTTTCGTTTTGTATTTGATTACTTCACCGGAGCAACACGTAGCTGAAGCTCACTATTAATTCAAATTTGCGTTCGCAACACGAAGCAAAGACCAAGCGACAGGTACGAACTTAAAAGAAATCTGAAGTTGGCACACTCATAAGCCAAGGTGCCACTATATTCAACAGTATTTTCTGGTACCTGAAAATATACTTAACTTCAGTCAGTAAGTATTTGTACTTTGTGACTTCCTGCCCCCGACCACAAAACAAATTATCCTAGAGGCTCTTTTTTTCATGGCATAACCCTTTCAAAGTGTCTTAAAGTCAGTTGAGGAGATCCAGGCGCAGATAAACGGAGTGTCCGGAGGCTTGCGCTTCAGACTCCAGCTTTAGACAAGCCTGTCATTAAGGTTGCCTTTTAGTGGGACAAGTGTGGCGTTCGGAGCCACAAGGCCTCAACTCGGGACTCGATCGTCTTTGTGTGGCTGCTGGCACCCAAAATACACAGCTGGGGATTAGTCAGCACGGGCTTGAGCAGTCTGTGTGTGTGTGTGTGTGTGTGTGTATAAATTATTGTATATACTCAGAGAAAAATATAGGACACCCGTCGGTCGGTAGCTACTAATTTTCCTTCTGTTGCTCGACAGTTCTATGTATCATGGAGGCTCACCGGTCGTAGTTTGCTTTGCCGGTTCACATGGAAGTACAAACCACTTTAAAGATTTTGTGCATCGGCTTGCGCCTTTATGATGTTTTTCTAATAAGTGGCTTTTGATTACAAGAGTCTTTGATCCTGTCGGGTCGAGGCTACATCCTGCATGGACAGCAGATGTCCACAAGAGGGCGTATCCTAACCTCCCAGAGCCAAGCTCTGGAGCTGCACTGGTGTGTGTGTGTGTGTGTGTGTGTGTGTGTGTGTGTGTGTGTGTGTGTGTGTGTGTGTGTGTGTGTGTGTGTGTGTGTGTGTGTGTGTGTGTGTGTGTGTATTCCGTTGCATGCAACCACTTGACAAAACAAAATTGACTAATTTCACCAATTCAATTCTATCATGATGAGACCCACAAAAAAGTCTCAAGGCCCCATGTTGGAAACTGAACAGGAAGTCAGCCATTATGGTTCAAAGTGGCCCCTTCAGTATATTTGGATCGATATCAGGTGTCCTTCAAAGACAAACTAGTCTTTTAGACTTTTCCCCAATTCCTACCACATTTGAACCACATATACCACACCGTTTGAGCTTTTGTCGCTGCGTGTTGGCAGAGCATGGCAGCAAAGCTTAACGACTCGCCATAAAACACAAATCTCAGCTCCGTTTGGACAGATCTGGACCAAACGTCGTGTGTGTTTTAAAGCAATACCCTCATTTTCATTACATCCCCTTACAGGCAGAAATTATGTCCCCGATTTGGCGTATCTCCCAAATATTGTTTTCCCCAGACTGCGCTTCTTACAGCTTTTCTTTTTATTTTAAGTTTCCATTGTCGTCCACATTTCCATCGCTTCTTTTGTCCGTTTAAAGCAGCGGTGTCACAATGCAGCAGCCGCAGTCACCGCGCTGGGCTCAGAGGGCTGTCATTTACCTGATAGCACAGAATCAGGGGGATATAGAAGCAAAAAGTAAGGGTTCTAAAATAAATGAGGAGGCGGGAAAGGAGCAGTTGAAGCAGGCCAGACAAAATGCCTTTCTTTGAGAGATGAAGTGTGAGGGGAAATTGCGGCAGATAGTGCTTGAAAATATAGCGAAGAGCGCAAGAGAAGCATCGCTCGGGTTTGTTTGAGCATCGTAGAATAAATTCAGGTTTTGAGATGTAACGCTGATGCACAGAACGAAGGGGGCTTATCTGAACATGCAAGGAACTCTAAATGTTTGGCGGGCCCCGGCGCCCCGCTTGTTGACTGCCACTGGAAATGGCACCGAAATAGACGGTCTTTACTGGCTCCGTTACGCGCTCCGCAGAAATAACAGAGGCGCATAGAGGCTGCATTCAGTCGTGTGATGAGCCAACGTGCATGCGGCACAACACGTGCCCCTCGGTAGGCCAACCTGAGAGATTGTTTGTCTGAGTGGCGCTGCGCTTCTGTGAAGACCTTTTCTTCCATTCGCTTTTCAGGGCGTATTGTTCAACCTTTTGGGTACAGTTTTTAATCACAGTATACAAGTTCTAAACCCAAATGAGAAATCCACGATACGATCGCTGTCAGTAGGAATCCTTGCATTACAAAAATCACAATTTTTCTGGAAAACAAAAAGATGCCATTTTTTTTTGAGTTATCAACATCTTCTACCCAATGGAAACAATAGAAAAAAAAACCCACTACTCGTTTTTCCCCTCCCACATGCATTAAACACATTCAAAGGAATTAAAACACACCTCTTAATACTTAGTATTCCTTTGGGCTTGATCTCACCCTCTCACTGTCACGAAAAGGGAGATTATTGTATAACATCACTGTGAGGAAAAAAGGAGAGCTCCAACAGTTCTTCGAATAAGATTTGTCACTCCCAGGTGAAGAATAGAACGAAACATTGCATAGCCCAACACCAAAATGCTCAACCAAACCACATCATTTTGTGGCACTAAAAGTCCACTAGCCCAATGCTAATGTATGAAATGCCATGGATAGGCTAATAAAAATGAGCATAGATAGAAGGGGCTAACTTAAAATATACGGCAGGGTCTCCTAAATGATGTCAATGAATAAAATGAATAAACAGAATTTAGTTTGAATAGTTCCTGCAGTCCAAAAACAGAAGGTCCTAGTTCGGTGTTAAAGTTTTCATGACTTGCTATAGCGCAGTCCTCCGCCAAGACCGAACCCTCTTAAATCTTTTTAATCCATACATACTGTCACGGACATGTTGCCGATTTGTGTAATAGAGATTCATGCATTTTTAACGAGTAAATGTGGAAAATTCTCCCAAGGAATTGCGCACCTTTATCTGAATGTGCACCATAAGCAGCCCGAGAGCCAACAACTTAAACAAGTGTGCCTTTAACTGTAAGCGTTCATGGAAACTCTCTAAATGAATGCAGACATGAGTGATTAGGAAAAAATGAGAAAAATAATAGAGCGTGAGTGAACGAATCGATAAAACACCCAAAACGGTCTTATTCGGATTACCGTCTGAGTCGTTTAAAAAAAAAAAAAAAAAAACTGTTATCGCGCGTAATGTATTGGATGAGAAATTGGCATTGTACAAATAACGTGCAATAAAAGCAGTTTGGGTTTTGAAAATGATGTGATGGAACCTGATGATGTGCCGCTTAACTTTGTCTGAGTTTTAAGGAGCTCAACAAATGATGCCAGATTCCAGCACTTATCGAGTCGTAAAAACACTTGGTGAGCTTTTTACAGCCAGCCAATTATGCTGATTTCAGTCAATGACGTACTCTACACATGGCTTTTGTCTCTCTTGTGCCATAACACAAAAACGTACTCCCATTTCCAAACGGAATCAATTTGGGAATGCGGCTACCGAATTGTGACTTAAAACACCTCCGGAGTAAATGTTTGGTGGTACTTTTGATCACCAATAATAAGCATATCTTACAAAGCGACAAACATGGTTGTAGGCTGGTCTAAACACTGTTGGCGGGACTGAGCTATATTGGTGTTTTTTTGGCAAAGACTTCAGTCACACCCACAATCACTTTATGTCAACAATGGGCCTGTTTAGTGAACTTATCAGATTTCGAGTTCATCCTCACAGGCCTTTGACAAGTCAGCAGTTTTCCTTCCTTCTGATTGGTCGGTCTGAGCAAAACGTGTAACAAGCCAAATCCATCGAGCAAAAGAGGTCTGTCGCAGTGTGCATGCAACTCTTTTGAGTGTGTATTTTTGTTTTTGTCATGTCCTTGGAAAAATATTGTGTCGTTGTATAGTATCGATGGGGGTGGTTTTGAGGAGCCAATTAAATCAGGGCCACGAAAAGGCCCAAGTACCACATGTACCACCTGCCACTGACTTTACTTTAGCTAAATTAAACCAAAGTCGACCTTCTCGCTTTTTTTTTTTAAACTATAACTGCTGATTATAATCAAACAGCTCTCAAATTTTCCCCTCATCAACGTCATCGCAATTTGTTTCCATTTTATTTCCGTCTCTGCCGTTACCTAATCAAACGCACTCGGGACTGAAAAGTTTTTTGTTTTTTTTTGTGAGCCCCTGGGCTTCTTTTGAAGAAAGAGCACTGAATGACGGGCATTCTTCCGTCGCTACTTCTGCTCCTTTTTAACATCACAGAGGCCTTCCTATCGCTCGCCAGAGGAAATGAAATGTTTATTGTGCAGTCCTGAGGGCTTTCGCAGAGGACTGGTGTGTTCTTAGTCTTAACGTTGAGGATCTGCTTTTTCTCGCTGGATGACTCCAAACGTGGGTTCCTCTCTCGTAGGATGGAGGAGTGAGGATAGGGGTCTTGGAAATGGTGTGAAGGCCTACCTGCCCGTCAAGTGCGTATTAGTACACACCGGTGTCACAGTGCAGGCAAGGATCCGTTGTGAGGATGGTTGTCATTAAACGGGAAATTCTTCCAATTTCCTGCAGTGGGACGTCCCCGCGCTCGGAACCATCTGAAAGTCATTCTCAGTGACCTGGAACACTGGACAGTTGGCATTAGACATCCAAGTGTAATCTACTGTACGGTACCATACAACCCGCAAAAGGTGAAACATGAAGAGACGATGAACCGGAGCTCTCGCAGAGAAACTCCTTTCTCTAATTACCGTGGTTTTACTTTCCGTACGTAACTTTTCGTCTTGTGACATTCAGCTGTCGGATTGATATCATAAGATGGTAAATCAGACTCAATTAGGCCCCGCGACTGAACAGCATTTGGGGTTCATTCAAAGTGTGGTTAATGATCTTTCCACCCTCGAAGGCGCCGCTCTATCCGTCCAAACCTCAAGACAACGCATCCCACAGTGCTTATTTAATGAGAACATGGGACAAGCTGTATTTTGAGCAAGGCAATACGCTCAGTAATCAAGTCACACTTTGACAGAAGGCATCAACAGCATTAACTACATAATCTGTACTTTAGTAGATGTACAGATAAAACTCAAACAAACTTAGTTTTACTCTTTTGTTACCTGGCATGGAGATTAAAAAGAATAACTGGCGAGCCCATCAAAAAGTCTTAAATCTTATCTGTTGCCTGAAGGTTTATAACACCAAAACAACTTTGCTGTGTGTTAGCTTTGCATTGTTAGCATTAAACTAGCTGACTTTGGCAAGGCAAAATCAAGTGGCTGTGCATTTCTCTCGGTTTTCTGTTTGGTCCGACACTAAACTTCAACTGGGAATGACAATAAACAGCTTGTATTTTTCACTATCTGACAAACTGAGGTTTGTTTAGTGAGTTGAGTTCACTGCGCGGAGTCTCAAATTTCTGTTCGCAAGTCAAAGCAAAAAATAAAAATAAAAATCACCTCAATGACGGCTTGTATTTGGAAAAACGGGACCTGAAAAATGTACTTCTGAAGAGTAACAAAATACATGCTTACGTTCTGGAAGTATACCTTTGCCAGGGGTGCTGGGGAACTACCTTAGAGACGTATATAAAGCCCTCCTCATGAAGAGGGGGGGAAAAAAAGTGTCTCACTCGCAATTGACGGAATGCGGGATCGTTGTGTGCGGAGAGGAAGGTGGGAGCGAGGGCAGTATACGAGACATCCGAATGAAAGACCATCTGTTTGCAGGGATGTGGGGGTCTGAGGGAGTCACACTTCCTGACCACTTCAGAATTTTGTCAGAACCGCGACGGCGCTCAAGCGACCCCGCGCCCCCCCCCCCCAGAGGGCAAATCATCCTGTGCCAACACCCTGCTGGTATTGTCATAAATCACCATTTTGAACACTGCGATAAAAAGTGGACGGATTAGCTTGTATTTCTCCAAGGGCTCAGGCGTCCTCTCTTTCCGCTGAGGGGCGGCGAGTGAAGGCAGAACACAGAGCCTGGTGTAGGACGCAGGTCCACGGGGGGAGTGGATACAGCATCATAATGACCAAGCCAAATATTTGTCTAGTCTATATTCTGAGAGCATAATGAAGTCCTTTTACACAAGGCATCGCTGGAATCCGGACAGTGATTTTCAGGCCCAGGGAGGAGCAGGTTTCACTCGGCCTCGCTGTTTCCATGTCGGCCTCTCTCATGTCAAGAAAGGAGAATGAGTCAAGAGCAGTGCTAGGTCAGTGAAGAAGTAACAAAGTATTCGTACTTTGTTACTTCTTCCCTGACAGCCATTTTGAAAGCAAAAGTATTTTGACTTACACATCATATTCCAGTGACCCGTCACAACATTAGCACCAAACTTACCAAAAGAAACCCAAAAAATTTTTAGGTTTTTATCTCTCTGGGTTCTCTACAATCATCATTACAATACATACTTGATAAATATATACATCAGTATGTAAAAAGATGGATTCCGGTTGACAAATTGAATGAGCTAATTATGTCATAGGTTCCATTTAAATACTGTATCACACTTTTGAGAGTATAGCAACTTGTCATTAATGATATGTCAACATCCAGCTGCATATTTTTCTAACGGAGTTGCCATACATGTCACTTAAATATAGCCTGTAACAACAAGGCGGATCACTTATGTGACCTTTCTGTCTTGTGTGCATCATTTTGCAGAGCCTAATTTAGTCAGCAAACTTCCGCCACCCGTTTTTACCTTAAAGTGTCTCCACACAGCTAACATAATGTAGCTCAAGCCGGTAAAATGGTATCATTGTTGTAGTATCGGAGCATATTATTTTCTGTCGGAGTATGAGTAGAGACATACTGTTTTGGTAACAGTGTACCTCTAGTTTTTATTTTTGGACTTTAGTGCTACACATTGCTGGGTGTACCTTTTTATTTTACTTTTCCATGAATACAGGAGTTGAATCAGCACTACTTTTACCAGAGGGTTTTTGACAGTCTCTCTATTTCTACAATACTTAAGTACAGAGTATGAGTACTTTTGCCACCACTGATCAACCGGACGAATGGGCCGTGCATGGCGCCGTTTGACCGAGAAGTCATATTTAGTCAGGAAGTGAATTACATGTTTTAGGCGCGATTTCATCAAATTAGACGTTCGCATACCATTGCACTGATCTATGGTTTTGGGAGGAGTCTCAAAGGTGGAATTTCACAGCGTTCCAAGCAGCCCATTGCACTTTAACGGAGAGAAACACACATACGTACTTGTATACATTTATCCAACCATGCCTGCATGCGCACACAAACCGGCTATGTCGACACAGTACATCTCCTATACGTACACTCGTACAGGTGCGGGCTAACTTCCGTGTGTGTTTGCCCCTTTTTGATGTTGCCAACTTGGTCATTTGTCAGTGCTCGACAACGCTCGCCAAAAATGTGTCTGCTTCCGCTACCCGGCACAGCCGCCCCAAGTGCTTTGCTCGAACATATTCAAGTGGAAATGGCACTTCCAATCAGCCTGAGGAATTCGATGAACTCGCAACGCGAAAGCTGTTTCGGAGATCATAGCATGTCAAAGCAACAAACTTGTATTTTTTTTTCAGCCGCAAATGACTTTTTGCTCACCGAGAGGGCATAATTATCAGCGAGTTTTCTTCCACGCGAGGCCTTGAGACGAATATCTTAAGATTGATGAGGTGAAAAACTCCCTGTGTCCGCTTTAGCCGTTCACATGATTTCAAGATGGCGACCCACTGCCAAGTCATCACTTGTTACATGTTTGACATATCAGTCTTCCGATTTCATAAATGAAAACTTTAGACACAAATGTTACTTCATCTGGGAAAGTGTAAAACTGATGCCAAACAAATCATTCGAGTGAACCCCGGAGGGACAAGTTGAAAGTTCCAAAAACATGTCGGCCACTACTCCAGCTCACAGCGAACGTACAGACTTCCAACAAAGCTTTACAAATTTATTCAAGTACAAATTTAGTCAAGGAAATAGGAAACGGTGCACCAGTCAAAGTGCAAAAAAACCCAAAAAAAA